ATATTCAAATTAATCTTAGTTTACAGGTACTTTTAGATAAATTAGCTATGTTAGAAGATGCAATGACATTTTCTCAGCTAGGTGTAATGCACCCTAGTATAATTCCTCCTCATAGTTTATTATTAGAACTGCATAATATACAAAAGTTACATTCTCTTAGGCCTGTAGATAATATTAGTATAAGAAATATTTACAAGATAGAAAAATCCATCGTAGTAAAAGCTTACAGCACAGAACACACGCTAACATTCATATTAGAGATACCATCCATAGACAATAACCTTTATGATCTTATCCACATATATTCTATCCCTGACAAACAAAACCTTACCATTATTCCCAAATCCAAATACCTCGCACTGGGAAACAATGAGTACGCCTACCTCCAGGAGAGCTGCAAGAAGATCACGCAAAATACACAACTTTGCCCTCTGTTGAATACCGAAGACATAGAAAAAACAGAAGACTATCATATCACTCATAAAACATCAAGAAGCCAACTGCACCAAGGCGAGGATGAACATCAGACATGGGAAAATTCAAAATCTCCAAGACAACAAATGGCTTCTGTTTCTACAAGAAGAAGTCATCCTGCGAACCACCTGTGGACCAAAATCCAGCTATAGAAGAGTAGATGGAATACAAATCGCCTCTATTACAAGCGACTGTCAAATAGAACCCTGAAGACCAATTGCAACCACATCTCAGCTGATGAAGTTATCCCCCTTCCAAGCCAGACATTTGCTCCAGTAAGCAACGTACGATATGAACTCCAATTGGAAGACATACCTTTGGATAGCATTCACGAATTAATGGACCGCGCAGAAGAAACCTTTAACGACAGCGACATCAACTGGCAAACCATCATGGCAACCCCAAGCTGGTCTACATTGGCTTTATATCTATTGCTGACTACATTCGTTGTATGGAAATTATACCAGTGGCATCAACGAAAGCAGAAACCAATTAAGGAGTGCACCGAGGACGCTGCAGGAAGCTGCGGGACGCGCTTCCATCTTAAGGAGGGAGGAGTTAAACGATGCAAAACTGCATCGTCTGCTGACCCAAATTCGGACGCACCAACGTGCGTCACAAGTAAAGTGCAAATGTAGCATAAGTTAGTTGTAAAATTATTAATATAGTTAAATCAGTCTTTGTAGAATATTCAGATAATAAACTTGTAATTAAAATAATAAATATTTTTTTTATAAATTAACTGCCGTCGTAAACTTAAGCCCTAACAAAAATTATGTACAATCCTAACATTATACTTTTTGGGCAGTCGTGTAAAAATATAGTACCTATACCTATCGATCTACTGAAAAATACCTGTCATGTAAAGATAAGGAGCATCTTGTACTCAATTCGTATTAGAAACTTATCACTGGAAAAGTTACAGTTAACGATTTTTTTTGGAAAAGAATCGTCCGCGTTTCTCTCTAGACGTAGAAAATAAATAAAAATGAAATTTACATATTATTATCATATACAAATTTTTGAGATATGACTCGACCAATGGTGGTGACAGCTGTTACCCGCGAAAGGTTATGGGTTCGAGGGTCTGACGCAGAACGTGCACTTCGCAAAATGTGCACTTGACAAAAAATGCGCTTTTTGCATTTGGTGCACTTCTCAAAATGGGCACTTCGCAGAATGAGCATTTCGCAGAATGAGCATTTCGCAAAATGAGCACTTCGCAGAATGAGCACTTCGCGGAATGAGCACTTTTTGTGGAAGTTTTTAATTAATAAAAAAGAAATAGGTACTGCGTATTTAAAATCAAATAAACACTTTTACAACGTTATCATTTATTTAAAAAGTAATTAAGTCCACTAGGTTTTGATTGTCAATTAAAAATATTCAATAATTTTAATAAAACAGATACGAAAACCTAGATGATTATTTTAATGCACAAACAAAAAATTACCCATTTTTTAAATGCTTGACATCACCCTTACGAAAATAACTGTAAATACAAATAAGAATCATATTTTAGATCAATAAATAATATGCTAATCTCACCTATTTTTAACAAAAAATAGTTTGAAGATTTTAGCAGGTAATTATACAATATAGAAAAATGTTATTAAGTGAATTACTTCATAAACTGCAAAAAAAATACTTTTTTTAAAAACTTAGGCACTGTTACATTACCATTTTCTAATTTACCCAACAGCCTGTTATATTTGCGATCATACCTGAAACAATATCTTTTTGCTTGCGATTTCTTTTGACATTCATAAATAAACTGTTACGTATATGACGATCCCAATACTTGCTTTCTTTTTTTAATTTGTGGATGAACATGTATAAGTTAGGATTTTTGGGTACACGAGCATTGACACGGTGATGCCAATATTTTTAATTGACAATCAAAACCTAGTGGACTTAATTACTTTTTAAATAAATGATTACGTTGTAAAAGTATTTATTTGATTTTAAATACGCAGTATTCATTTCTTTTTATTAATTAAAAACTTCCACAAAAAGTGCTCATTCCGCGAAGTGCTCATTCCGCGAAGTGCTCATTCTGCGAAGTGCTCATTTTGCGAAATGCTCATTCTTCGAAGTGCCCATTTTGAGAAGTGCACCAAATGCGAAAAGCGCATTTTTTGTCAAGTGCACATTTTGCGAAGTGCACGTCCTGCGTCAGACCCGGGTTCGAGTCCCAAATCGGGGAGCTGAGGCTGTTGCATTTTTTAATTCATTCCTCATTAAAATATTTATCAGTATAGTGATACAAAATTACTTAAATACATTTTAATGTTAATAATAACCACTAATGAATAGGCAGATGATTTGCTGGCCATTATTATAATCATATCTCAATAGAATCTTAACGACTGACATTTTACCATTGTATCTATTAAAAGTCCAATATTATTAATGTACTAGTGTACTGTGTGTAGTACTCACACATCAATGGTGATGGATAGCAAACAGTTGAGATTCAGTTCAGATGTATATCAGATGTGCAGCGAGGATAATGTCATGATACGATACTTAAATATCGTAAGCTAAAACGACAACGAGATCGTCACTATATCGTTACGATATAGGTATGTGACACGATATAATGTCCGTTTGGAATGAGGAGCCACTTCAGATCTTAAAAAGAAATTTACCCCTTTGTTTATTAGGGAATTAAATAATTTTGTAGGCTGAATTCTAATAAAGGGGTAAATTTTTTTTTGAAAATCTGAAGTGGCTCCACAATCCATACGGACATACGATAATGTAACCAACAGCTTATTAGCGGGTAATAATGGCAGCAGTGAACAAGTTACATTAAATTTGTATTTAACATTAACAGCCTAAAACTGTGTTGTTCTCGATATCGGAACGACAATATTACATAACGACACACTGTGAAAGCATTTATATAGTAGTGATTTATTAAACTACCAGTCCGACGATATCGTGTGCAGTTATCGTTAGTTACAGTTATCGTCCTACACCCATTCGCTGTTGAACTACTGGAAGAAAAAGTCCCAGTAGGAACCGACTGATGGACCTACTGTTATCACTGTTATCAGTAGTACATCTGAAGCACAGAAACGTTAGAGATAATTCTTTGGTCACCCATCTTATAATTTCGGTAACATAACCTGCACCAAAAACCTCTGCCAGACCTCAATAGAAGATTTGTAAATTATTTTTCACTTTTTTAGTTTTTTTTCTGGATTATATTAAATTCGATTCAATTAATTTATATTATTTAAATATCCTGAATTAAGAATATGGCTATTTAGAAGTATAATATATATGTTACTAACATTTCATAATACATTTTTCCTACAGTACAGATGACCATCATTTATGGTTGGCCCTGTGAAAATACTTGAATATGTATTGCCCCGGAAAAAGTCATCAGGAATAGATGAACAAACCGGAAATATCCGATTTTGATGTTATTGAGCCATGTTTTAATTTAATCAAACAAAATAATCCAGAAAAACTATAAAAGCTACAAAGTTTTTTTCGCTATATACAAACATCGACAGTTATCCTGATAAACATTTAGCGTAATGTTGCTGCGACAGAATATGCAAAATATATACAAAAAAAAATACAAATAATGCCTAATAGGCTAAGAGCTCGTGACAAATACACTTAAACAATAACTATATAGTTATTATTAATACAAAATGCTTAAAAATTCCACTTGGTCCCTGGCGCCCTGAAATGGGATTCGAACCCACGACCTTTCGCTTTCCGGGCGACTGCTCTTGCAGAATAATTTTCAGAATAGCCTTGTGAATGCGAAATTAATCAAATATAGCTATATAGAGCTTGAAATATAAGCTTATTGAAATACTTAATGTATACATCACGCACAGGTCACAGGGCGAAGGTTGCTGGAACACCTGATGGTAGGAGGGCAATACGAAGAATCCTCACAAGTGCTTTTTAATAGTTTATTTTTATAGAAAAAAGTTATTATTTATATAAAAAAGCATACTACTCAGATTTCATAATCTTGAAATGCAGCGATTCTGTAGATCTCAGAAGTTGGTGTGAAAATAAGTTGAGTTTCGTTATGGTTAAAAGTCCATTTATTCTAAATGATCTCTAGTAGTAAGATCATTAAAAATATTTAGTCCTTCAATGAAAAACATATTCAACAATTGATTTTCGCTTCGACGCGACAAGGTATTCCAATGCGTGACCTCCGCCCTGCACTAAGTACTGAATGATGTATACCTATATTATAAGTATGTATAACTATAGTACCTAAAGATACTGAAATATTAGTTTTTAAAAGCATTTTTGTTAAGAGCTCGCCATTTATGCTGCTATGTAATCGAAAGAAGATTGAACGAGCAGATACTGATAATTGTCTGTAGTCAGTAAATTATATTATTGATGGTGTATAGCCTCCTTTTGTTAAGAAACGAGTAAAGAAAAGATTTTGTTATTTTATCAATTTCTATAATCTGTTTTCTTATTTTTTTTTACAGCTATTTACTTTATGTGATATGTGTTCTTATGAAATAAATTTACTTTGTTCTAATAAAGGTTCTTGGATAAGTTAAAGGTGATCTCTTTGGCTTGTCGATTAGGGACAATTCTTGAATATTTTTAATTGCTTCTTCTGCTCCAATATTATCAATCTTTGATGAGAAGAAAGGGGCGAAGACAGCACTTATGTGAGTTAGAGGGTTATGCCTTTTCGGTTTAGTTTTTTTGAAGGGATATGCTTGTACTACATTGGGGTTGTTGTCACATTTCGGAGGAGGCGGTATCGGTAGAGATTTCGCAGTCACAATCTCTGGATTTCGGGCTTCAGAGGACGCTGCCCTTGCACTACGACAGGTATCACAGAAGCAGGCTTCATTATCTTTACAGAGTGTTTCTGGTGCCACACAAGTGTTGATAATACACTTTTTGAGTGTTGAAGAGATAGGACCATCGGGGCCATCGGAGCCTACTGGCGATACTGGACCACAAACGGGAAACGGTGGGCAAGGGCAGTTGTAGCAAGGACCGCTGAAGCAACCACCACAGGGGCCACAGCTGCAGGGGCCACACCCGCAAGGACCACAGCCACATGGGCCGTATCCGCAAGGGCCACATCCGCAAGGGCCGCATCCGCAAGGGCCGCATCCACACCCACATGAGTATCCGCAGGGTCCACAGAATCCAGCGCCACATGGGCCACATCCACAAGGGCCACAAGGTCCACATCCACAGGGGCCACAAGTACCACATCCACATGGTCCACAGGGGCCGAATCCACATGGGTAGCAGGGTCCACACGCTCCACAGATGTCCATTAATTCAGGTACAAGACAGCATAGAGGTCCACAAGGACCACAAGGTCCGCATGGTCCGCAAGGTCCACATGGTCCGCAAGGTCCGCAAGGTCCGCAAGGTCCGCAAGGCCCGCAAGGTCCGCATGGTCCGCATGGTCCACAAGGTCCACAAGGACCGCAAGGGCTGCAGAGTGGTCCACTAGGGCCACAAGGTCCACATGGTGGGACACACGCCGTTGGTCCACATGGACCACCTGGTTGAACAGGCCCATTGCAAGGCCCGCAAGGTCCAGTAGATACATGGTAAGGTCCGCAAAACCAAGTTCCATAAGGATAATAGTAGTAGCCCGTCATATACTGTATACATTTTGCTGGAACATTACAGGGAGGCGGCAGGCAGTTGCCCGCACAACAAGGCGATGCACTTGGGCATGGGCACGGGCACGGACAAGGGCAAGCACTCATCATCAAGGCTTCTAATGGATCGCTTCCAATTCTGTTGGAAGGTTGTTGTTGTTCAACTTCAGTGAATGGTGTACTATTGGAACGTAAGCAATGCTGTATAGGTCGGAAGTAGTTAGGACATCGTTTCTCTTCAAAGAATACGGCCGATCTTGATTTAGTTAAGTTGTCTTGTTTTGTTCGATTCTCCTTGGGACTTGAATGCAGATTGGGACAGGATATGCTTCGTCGTGGCAATATTGTAGAATTCTGTGGCGAGTCATTAATGTTATTCATCTTTAATTGCGTCATCTTCGTCATCGGCTGCTCCAACTGTGCTTTATTTATGTGCTCTCTTAAACCCATCTTCTTGGTGGCATTTGCTGAAAGGATGAGTGTACTGTAATGACAGTATAAATCCTACAAATTCATGAGGAAAATGAAATGAAACTGATGTATAGGTATTAAAGGTTTATTTTCATGAGCAGGCGGGTTTACAGTGCTATTAAAAATATGACCGAGAGTATCGACGCTTGATTAAATAATTAAAAATTTTTTTGTTATTTAAAATAAATTATAACTTAAGGAATTAATTACCTATTGTGATTTATATGCTTTAAATTTGTGATCAATATTGGGACTAGGATAGGGGTTCCTATAGTTTGGAATAGAGGTATGGTTGAACGCGCCTGCTTTTACTCTTGGTCTGTTCCTCTGCTCCTGTGTCATTAAAGATCGAGGCTTTTCTAAAGGTGGACAAACATTCTTGGACCGTTTTTTGCTCTCATTCCCGTATCCAGAAATATTAGAAGTATTTGTAAAACCTTTTGCATCAGAATAAGGAGATGTTTTACTGAACGTGCTAGATTTTGACCCGTATATTTGTGAAAATGGGTCAAAGTTATCTGGAATAAGATTTTCTTGAGTACTATATGGGCAAAAAAACGAGGATAGCACTGTGGTTGTAGGAAGAGTTTTAGGAGCCGGATGATTTGCCGTCGACTTATTTTCAAAGGGAAAGAATCTAGATATTCCAGATTTCGAAATCTGCTTACATGATTCATCTTGAGAGAGCGGGCTTCTTATTTGATTACCAGGCATAACACCGGTTTTAGGAATATCGCGAATAGGTGCCTGATTCCCCATAACACCCATAGGACATACAGCAGGAGTGCACATAGTTGGTGGGCAAACTGGTCCTGGACAAACAGCGCATTTCACACATGGGCCACAAGCACCACATGGGAGACATGGACCACATGGACCACACGGGCCACATGGACCACACGGTCCACAGGCACATTTAGATCCACAAGGACCTACTGGAGTGCAAGTACCGGTCACATGATAAGGTCCACAGAACCAAGTACCATAAGGGTAATAGTAGTACCCGGTCATGTATTGAACGCAACGGGGAGGGGTATTACAAGGAGGCGGCAGGCAACTGCAACCACCAGCGCAGCCACATGGGCCGCAAGGGAAGGGACATGGGCATCCACAGTTGCAGGGTTTCGCAGAAAAGAAGCGTCTTGATGTGGTATTAGGATTAGACATTCGGAGCAGAGGACTATAGCTGGCAAATAACGGCATTGTCGCAGAAGGTTGGACGGAACACGAAAGCCTAGTACTGGGTGGTGGGCTAATGTGTCGGACCGACACACGAATCTTCGGTCTGGTTTCAGGAGCAAGGGTGGGACACGACTCGCTGAGTCGCAACCGCCATGTACTGCGTGGTTTGGGGCACCTTCCCACGGGTGACAGCCGTCTCGACTTTCCAATCTTCGTGTACCCCAAATACAGATGCCTTTTGTCTTTCTTCAAGCTTCGGCATAGCACTGCCTTTGCTGCAAAGGTATGTTTAGCTATTCACCTGGATTAAATTTGTGTTTTTGTTCTTAAGTGATTAAAATTTTCCCTATAGAGTACCTACCTAATTAGTTTACACGCTCATCAATTGAAACAAATAATATATTTAACACATTTATTTGAATTTTAAAAATCGATACAAATAGTTGACAAGTAAAATTAAAGTAAATAAAAGGCAGATCTTAAAATAAAATGATCTAATAAAAGTAATATATTCAAATTAGTTATAATGGAGTCACTTTAAAACCAGTAGCAGAACGTCGCGAAGGTGTTTTATCCTTCTTAATTTCTTCTGCCTTTAAAGGTTCTTGGACGGGTGTCTGATGTTGAGGGGTATTTTCAGCGCTTGTCTGAAGGTCAGGCATCATGCAACTGCAGGCACATGAACCACATTGACACTTCTTAGGCTTTGGATTACAGGGTGGTGGACAGCAGGGGCCACAAGGTCCGCAAGGACACGGACATGGGCATGGGCATCGACAAGGTCCGCAGGGGCCGCAAGGCCCGCAAGGTCCGCAGGGTCCACATGGCCCGCAGGGTCCACACGGTCCGCAAGGGCCGCAGGGTCCGCAAGGTCCACATGGGCACGGGCAACGACATGGTCCACAAGGCCCGCATGGACCACAGGGCCCGCATGGGCCACACGGTCCACAAGGACAGGGACAACCGCAAGTCGGGCATGGACAACCTCCTTTCTTTTCATCCTTCTTCTCGGCGAAAAATCGTACCGAACCAGTTTGATCACCACAACAAAGGATCGCGGTGCGGGCGGTCAGTGGCGAGCCGAACATCGATACGCCGTTGGTGGCCACCGCTGCAAATGACATCCAACATTTAATACTCGGCAAAGAAGCCGTCGGCTAGCCGCGGATGCTATTCGGAAGAACGACGGACGCGCATCGCCTCGTCGAGTATTAAAGGCTGGAGGTCCTACGGCGACCACCGTTCTCCAAAATAACATTACGGAACTATATATCAATTAAAATTTTACCGTTTGACTAAATTGACAGTTAAAAACATCAAAATTAAATGACATTTGGTACGACAGTCGCTTTTTTCATTAGGAACGGAAAAAATATTAACGAAGTACTTACAACTTACCTTTTCGATATTAAGCATACAAATAGACAACTACTACCTGCTAATTTATATTATTAATATGATCACTGATGAAAATATTAACTTATGTAGATTATATTTACGAAAAATATGAAAATACCAGATAAATGATATAAGGTATACTTTCCAAAATAGAAGTCATGACTATGTAGGCAAATCCAACTAACAAATAGTTTTTTAATTTATTTAGCAAAAGAACAGGTAACTAACTGATTATAACTACTTATCAATAGTCATATACTTACATAAAGGAGCTGGGTTATTCTTGTTTGCAGTAGTAGCAATTTGTCGTCCTTTTATGCATTTCAGAAACGAGACATTTCTCGTCAATACCGCCTTCCTCAGTACTAGAGCCATGTTTTGCTGTGTTTTTGTGCTATTTTATGTTATTGCTATTGACCGGAAAACTTGGAATTTTTATAAATATTTCTATGGTTACTTGAAAATTTGGCCCATGGTAGGATGTTTGAACGCGTCTGGCTCATCGGAACAAAAGATAGTTGGTTTGTTTCAATTTTCAAAATTTCGTAATATTCTTTCTTTTCTTCTTGGTCTACATTGTAGGAAAAAAGTTTTTATATCGCTATGAAAACTTTTTTATTGAGAACTCATTTTGAGATCCGAAAAATATGTCTGCTTGAAGCTAGGAACAAGAGGATTCCAGTTCTAGGGAGTTCCAGTGGTTTGGATTAGATTAACTCTTAATTACCGTGGTTTATGTTTACAAAATGCTAAAAACCAGCCAAGTGTGAGCCGGACTATCGCGCCAGCGTTTCTGTATCATATCCATAAAAAACATAAATAAAATACGTTTGTGGTTTTTGACAAGTTTACAAGTAAGAATTTACTATTACTCGTAAACTTATCAAACCTTTCTTTTTAACTTCGTTATAACTGCAACGTTTGAATTTTTTAACAACAACCATTTGAATGGTAGAGGGGGCCGCTTGATAAAAAAAAAATTGGCTCTTTAAAGATTATTAAGTCACTGTTCACTAACATCCGATTTCTGAATTGAGATTTTAAACTAAAGCACGCCTCAAACCGAACTTAAACCATCTTAAACGTCACTTAAACAGGCTTCCGTTTATGATTTTAATTTTTTTAATGATCAGTTGATAGCAGTTTGATAAAATAGGACTTTTTGCCGTGTCGAATGTAAGAAACTTATGTTAATGAAAATAATCAGTTGAGATTATATACTTTTCTCAATTCAGAAACCGGCCGTAAATCAAAATACGGTCTTCCACACCCTCAATATTTTTTAAGAACAATAAATAACCCACACTATGGGGAACATGAAAAAAAATATCGATTCTACATACAGGAGAGGTACTCAAAAGCTTTTTGTTTTACCACTTTGTCGACGTGATTAACGTATATCAACTTTCTAGCACCAATAGTTTTTGAGCTAAATCCAACAGCATTATGGTGAATTTCAATGGTAGCTTTGCGAATTTTCTAGAGACAACTTTATAAATTTGAACCTTTAGAAATAATTGTGTGGTTTTCTCGTCTCGATTTGACTTATGTCGACGTTATTTCTTTGTACATACAAAATCAGTTGAGAGTGAGTGATAATTACTTCGCCCTATCAATGAAAGTTGACTGTCAATATCTCTCGCCTAGTGTCCAAGTTTGTACAACTTATATCTGCTGTTTCCCGTGAATAGTTTGGGAGCCTTTTTAATACAAACAATAAAATCTTATTAGAATAGTATTAATGAAGCGTAAGTTTTTCTTTTGAAGTACATCTAAAAAAGTTTTTATTTATTTCAATATGTTGTAGTATTCCATGGTTATTTTTATTGTAAAATTGCCTTTGGTAGGTAAAACACTGTACGTTAAGTTATTTTCTTACTCGGCTTTCAGCTTTCAATTACTATTAATTATCTTTTAAGCAAACATTAGTAATGAAAATATACTGCTACGATTAACTTCATCCAAAAAAGGTAAGTGAAACCTGTAAAAAGAGTTTTATATCAGAAGAAATGAATTCACATGAGTTCTGGGGTAACTTTGTGTTTCGTTAAAACTTCACTGAAATATTAAGAGAGTCTGACACGGACAAACTCTCAAAGTTTTTACACAATAAAAACGCGAAATAATACATTTTTCTTGATAGAAAAAAAAAACTTGACGTTACCCCAAATCCTACATTTTTTCTTGTCGTAAATATATTTTATAGAGCAAATTGAGAAAAATGTGAGTAGCGTTATAGCCGAGCGAATTGTGCAGCATTTTTACAATAATCGTAACAGCTTGCAAGTAAATAATTAAAAATCTTCTGTTTGTATTCATCTTTGGTTATACGTCCCTTCTTAAGAAACACCATTGACAATGTAACAAGTTAACAATGTAACATATAATGATCTGGCATAACACTCATCACTTTTTCAGGTACGTACCCAAAGGGTAAAATCGGGATACGATATAGAAAATGAAATAATGCCCCAAAATATTACGTGATTTTTTTTAAATAATAATGGTACTGAACCCTTTGTGCACGAGTCTGACTTACACTTGGCCTGTTTTTTCCTATTTGAAACAGTCCGTTACAATCTCTTTGTATAGATTACGCTTTGAGCCTTTGAGCTGATATCTCACAGAGTAAAATTGTATTATTTCAAGTCTATGGTTGATATCACAGGTATGAGGTAATGTCAAAATATCTGCAGTTATTTTATCAATTTAGTTACAATATTGATAAATAAAATAGTGTTTTATACGATAATTTTAAGCAGCTATAAATACATATTTTATGCTATATCCTAGAATACTTTTCAAAAAGTTGTTTTTATGATAATTGTTTGTATACATTTTGAGAAAGTGTGTCTGTAATCCATGGGAAACATGGTTTGCACATTTATTTGACTTATTTACCTATTTAGCATGTAGAACTATTAAATAAAATAGTATTATTAATTCTTCTATTATTAGGTAGATATCGACACTGGAAAGCAAACACGTAGTAACCCGACAAACCATACTTGTTCTTCAAAGCAGATTTTTCTCGATAAATAATCCCTATAAATGTCCATGGTAACAAATAAAGTGTTCCTTAGTCAATTTATACCGAAATAAGACATTTTTTTCTAAAATATAAAGATTTTCCACTCTAAAAATCAATTTTGGTTTTGCGGGTTACTACGTGTTTGCTTTCCAGCGTCGATATATACGTATGTTAAAGTTGTATAAAATAAATTGTATAGAGTGTAAATTGTATAGTTGTATAAAGTGTATAGAGAGTTTTTTTTTATAGCAACAAGGTGCTGCTGGTCACTCTCCTTTCGGCCAATTTATGGGTCAACAAGGGGGAGGTCAAGGTTACGGTCAAGGCTATCCCCATCCACAGGTAAGGTACCTAAATTATAATATTATTAGCGCATTGTCTTCCTCACATATTAATAATGACAGTTGGACCTCTTGAATAATCGCAGTTAATGTTAAGACTGAACGAAATTGAACGTACAACTGCATGAAGTTGAATATACATATATCAACTATATGTACGTTTGCTGTTTTTTTTTTCACAAAAAGAAGTATTTCTGATATTTTGCTCTCTGAATTTTTTACAAAATAACACGAACATTACAACCTTCTCGATCTCCTGGCAAGTATAATATACCATTAAAATGGCTTATCTATTTGGAAATAAATAAAAAGTCCAAAGGAATAGGGTATACCTAATATACGATATTTTTGTCACTTAAAAATTCTCAAGTAAAAATTAATTATATTTCTTTAAAAAATGCTTATAAAAACAAGCAATAAATAATTGTTAAGACTACAAATACGGAATTACACATTCAATAAACTTCATCAAACCTTGCACTGAATTCAACTAAAATCGGTATTTTAATTTAAATCAATAGCTGAAGTTATTTATTTTTTTAATTCGTTTTTTATACTTTTAGCAATATGGCCCTCCTCAGCAGTATCCTCAACAGTATCCCCAACAATATCCGCAACAGTATCCACAACAGTATCCGCAACAATATCCCCAACAGTATCCGCAACAGCAGCAAGGTTACGGTGCGGCGCAGCAAGGTGATTAATTTCATTAGTTTAACCTTACGCTAGCGACTTCGTTAGCACGGTATAGTAATTTTGGGGAGCAGTTCCAAAAATGCTTAACCAATATTTTAATTATGTCTTATGATTATGAAGTGCATGAATATAAAGTTCCATTGTTTTATCATTGATAACTTTCTTCCCCTCTTTCAATTTCCTTATCGATAACGATAAAAGGACATATCACTTCTCAAGCTCAATGCACTTCAGTGGTTTATAACAAGAATCTATCAAATAAATAAATACAAAACAATATAAAAAAGTCAATTGTTAAATCACCCTTTCAACATGCAGAGGCCTTTTATCGAATAGAAAATTGAAGAGATGTATGTGTTCTGTAAACAAACGAGAAAAGGTTGATGTTAATTTATTATGGCGCACGCAACTAGTTAATATGCCATTTAAGCGTATTGCTAAACGTTGATCAGATTAGTAGCTGAACAAAGCTTTCTTCTACAGTATGGCTAGCTCAGGCAACTGGTAAATTAGTTTTGTTAATTTGTAAACTTCAGGAAGGCGAAGGACTCCGTGCGCAGGACCGATCGCTTTGGAGATCTTTGGGGGAGGCCTATGCCCAGCAGTGGGCGTCTCTCGGCTGAAATGATGATGATGATGATGATGAATTTGTAAACTTCAGGAAATATGGTTCTTAAATTATTTGTATGCAAATTTTTATTGCTAGCCAATTTTAACTAGCATGATACTTTTGATTAAAAAATGAGTTATGTGGTGGTTGACTGTATTTCCGGGGGTGCTACAAATAATTCCTTTCCTTTGTAACTATTTTAATTTTTTTCTTCAAACGATAACGAAAATGCATTGTACCGACACAGTGTACCGACCGTGGGAAGCGAATGAATTTTAATTGCACACTTACAGGAACACAAGACACAAAAACATAATAAGAAAAAAAAACAAGTACAATAGCGGCTTTATCGTTAGTCAGCGATCTCTTACAAGCAACCCAAATAAAGATACGTTAATACGTTTTATATTTCTTTATTAAATTTTACTAATTTTTATCACCTAAATTTTATGTAGGTGGTCCAGGCATGGGGACGTTGGCGAGCTGCGGCGCATGTATGGCTTGCCTTACCTGTTTGATGTGTTCGTGTTGTCAAGCACTAGGTATGGCAATGGGAGGACATGACGATGACGTTACAGGGGAAGGTCCTCCTGAAGGACAAGGAGGTGCACCAGGAGGTGCACCGGCGGGTACAGGTGGCACGGACCAAGCCGACACAGATAATTAATTAATAGTTAAATAATGACTCTAATAAAAGAAGGATCGGAACCATATGGTGTTTATTAAAGTTTACTGATTTATCTTATAGTAACGTTCACCTATGGCTAGGGTTACCAACCGAAGGTACTATAAAATAGTGTATTGTACTTTTTAAAAAATACGCATACTCTGTAATCTATAACAAGAAAAGAGGACACTATAATACTATTTTTTATATAATATTTATCATATTAGTGATAACCTTTATGTTTTTGAAATGTTATCTAAATGATACTCTTTCTTAAAGATCGTGAATAAGATGTTTCTTTTATAAATGAGTGAAGCAGCGATAAACTGACTGACTATTATTTTTGGGAACTAAAAATTGTTATTGTAAACGTAAATGTGTTTATTTTACGACTTTAATTTTTTATTAAGTTTTAAGCGTGTTAGTTTTTAATTTAAATTAATTATTAAAGTCTGATAAGTTTTGTTTTGTTTTATTATTACCTATAACGTAGTTAGCTTTTTTGGCTGTAGGAAGAATATGAAAACAAAACATCTTTTTGTTCAATCATCAGCTTGTTGCTCCGAGGTTCTAATTCTGTTGGAGCCGATGCTTCAATAGACGGATAGTGCCTAACCTGGTGTCGCATTTTAAAGAGGATTCGGACGATAAACAAAAATCAATAAAAACGTAATTACAACATTGATATTATTAATATTACATTTTTCGAATTTTATATTTTAAATAAATAAATATACTTCTATATTATTAATTTAATCTCGTCGTATTTGTCAGCTTTGAAGCGACGAACTTTCCGTCCCATTTGCACCAATCCTAATTCCACCTTCAGTGTCCGAATAATTATAGCCATTTAATAGCCCTATTATACCCGGGATACACGAGTGAAGTTAGTTATCCAAACCAGCCAGTAGCCAGCTAGAGCTAGTTATCCAACAAACAAGCTTGAGATGCTAGCTTTTATTTTAGTTTACTCCTAGAAGCAAGCTAGTACTGTTTACAAATTACACAAGGGAGTAGCTTACTAAATGCTAGCTTATTACTAGCACTAACGTGTAACCAGTCTGTATCATGTAACCTTGAACTCGCTTGCAAATGCGTTATTCGACAACCGCATTCTATTTTGGTAGTAGGCCCATAAGATTGGGTATAATATTGTTTTGTTTTACATCAAGGTCAACAGACATATCGTGCATGAATCTTCTAACGTGTAAGCCACCGTCTCGGCGCAGTAGAGTAAAAAACAGCGCACAGTGTTATGAAGTATACCGACAGTACGTAATACATATAGATTTGAGTATTGCATAGGCGCCCTCTTAAATCCAAACTCTCTTATCTGCTATTTAGACCTTTAATCTCTTTTTCATCAAAAAAAAATTATCGGTTAGACCCATTAGACCAGGTCAATGTTTACGTAATAATCGCATCTCTATAGAACCATAACGACTTATATTTTACCTTTGTACTATCTAACTATCTGAAGTTCAGTTAAATACTTACAATAACTGGTATTAGACGCGTTAAAACTGAAGTTCAATATAATTAGTGCAATGGTCTTCTTCAGACATCAATATTGGTGACAGATCTATATAATAATATTAGACTTCATTTAGATAGTACAATCGCAAAATACAAGCAGTTGAGATTCCATTGAGAAGCGATTATTACGTAAATATTAGCAGAATTAGCTTGTGGAGGATGAACTGCAGCGGGTTTTATCAGGTAAGCCAACCACACGAACCTGCACTTTTCAGGGCGAGGAGGTTGAACGAACGAAATGAGGCCGGGGCCGCTTGCAAGACATGAGAGATATCTATGCCCATTTTCATTATGGTCATGGTTTATCGGTTATGGTTTATCGCCCAATGAAATTAGCCCACACAAATCTATACACGCATATATTGAATGAAAATGCACCTTGGCCTTGACGTTTCCAAATTTTCCAACAAAAAATTACAGGACGATATTACGTCAGTTGTATAGATAATCAATATATTTGCCATGTAGACGTGACAATGCTGATTATTTAATTCAATTAGATTGTCCATCATGAAACACAGTCACCCTACTCACAAAAATATAACTTCCGAGCAACATTATCGAGCGGTCTCGCAAACGCGTCGGTAGTGAACAGTAAAAAATATCTTCATTTTTATTTTAACCATGACTTCCGTGCCTACTATTAAATTTAATAATGGATACACATGCCCAGTTCTGGGGCTTGGAACTTGGAAAGTGAGTACATAATAAATATTTTTTATAGTTTTTCTTCGGATATTGAACTTCCGCTTTGTTTGATACATCCCTCATTATTGTTCTTCAAAAGTAATTAAAAAGTAATTCATTCAAAATCGTTGACATCAATATATTGGATTCTATATAGATTTTAAAGTTAAAAAAATATCAGTCAAGATCCATAATTTTTGAAAACCAATAATGACGAATGTATCAAACCGGAAATTGAATTTTCGAAGAAACACCCTAAAACAATACCAAAAAAAAAGATTTAATTAAAAAGATTTTTTCATTGTTTATTAAAAACCTTTTCAATGCAGTTGCTCATAAAGCGCTATTTCTTCAATCCATTGTAAACACCGAAAGTAAGTTTTTAAACACGTGTTAAATAAAATGTACTGAAATCCTTTACTGCACACGTGCTTAAAAGTATTTTTAAATTTTTTTTGGCCGAGGACCAAAGAAATTAAAAAAAAATGATGAAAATATGTCAATCTTTAGAGGCAAAGTATTTCAAGGAACCTAGAACGAATATTTTCAAATAAAAATGTATGACACGAAAACATGTTCAAATATCACGTTAAATTTTTACCTTAAATACATACTTAGTTTTATTAACCGATATATTTGTTTTATTTCCTCGCAAAAAGCATTGAAAAATGTTGTAAGAAACTTTTGTGAGAAGGTTGTAAGAAGAATGTTGTAAGAAGGTTTTTCGAATTCGTGCCAATGAAAACCCTCGCTGAGCGTTTAAATAAAAGCTTTTTCAAAGATTTTTATTTTGTTATTAAAGCAGTAAATTTTAGGATAGCCATGAGAAGAAAGGCAACCCTTATAGAATCATCTGTGTACCCAATGCACCCAATCTAGTAGATCTGAAAGGTACACTTCCCGTAGGTGAAAGAATTTTCATGATATTAGTATTTCCGAAGATGTGTAATATCCTATAAAGATGTGTGAAACTTTACATCTTTACAATATTAGTAGAGATGTGTTTTGAGGATATTTTAAGAAAAAATTAAATATTAAAGAAATATATATCTTAAGTTTTTTACTTACGAAGACGCCGCCGTACATAATTTACTGTGATATAGTTTATGTTATCTGTAACTGTGATACGCTCGAGCATAATCACAAAATTCACAATCTCTTTTCCTTGTTACTTATGTAGATAAGATTTAAAACAAATCATCGCTATGCCAAGAATACTTTTTTACACGAGAACATAAATTATTTTTAAACCAATATCATTGTTCTTACCTAACACATAGAGCGTGTTTTCAGTTAGTGTACATACAACTTTTTTAATACAATCTTGCAGAAACAAAATTAGACTAAGACTACCTATTTTCATTCTGATCAAATTGAATATATATCCTCATGAGTTGAAGAATTAATAAAACCATTGACTACAACTCGATTGATTCAGTCAGTTCCTACTTTCGGAACAAATTAAATGTGACAAACGAACGATGGACGGCAGAAAGTAAGACAACACAATTTAGGTATCGACACACAAAAAACAGTTTAAGTACCGTTCATAACAATAAGAAGAAAAAAGAGAAAAACGGAATGTATAAATCTTAAGTAATAAAGAGGTTATTAAATAATATAATAAACTTTTTTCTTCAAATAATATAACATATAACCGACCCCAAACGACATATTAAATAAGAAAAGAAAGTATTTTATGCTTATCTATTTATTTGAGTTTTATGTAAAGTTTCCAGTGGTAATATATGTATAGCAATAAAAAATATTATTAAGTGATAATAAATGAGGTGCTTTTTTACTTTTGGGAGTAGCCGTCCGTAGCATACCCAATAAAAATGGTTGACACACTCGGGGTTTCACAGAAATATATCAGGAATCATAAAAATTTATTTCTGTACGGGATTTTGTGACCGAATGGGAGGTATACCTGGTATAATGGACGACTGGGTAAAAAAAAAGAAATTCTATTGAGTCCGACAGTCAGATAATAGAAAAATATTTGATACATCTTTTTTGCTTTTACAATTTAAACAAGAAATGGCTTAAATAATATTAAATGGCATCAAAGTTGAGGAGTGGGTGCTCGGTACGTCACAGTTGTGTAGAAAATATACAAACACCTGTCGTTATATGACATTTCAAACTCAACGTATCGCCGTAATTTTTTGATTACGCAAAGTATTTAATATTCTACTATTATTTACCTGACGGATAAACAAATAAAAATTACTCGTCATTCCTTACGAAGAATAATTATAATTCTTTTGTTATCTTTAATATTGTGATGGAAAATGATTTCATAGTCTGATGTTCAATTTTTCAATTCGTGATTTCTGTATGATATGAGACAGGGGAAGAAACAGCCCTTCCAGTTTTTCTCAGTAACTATAGGTACACGATCTCCTACCATTATTTTAGAACCGATGGCATAGTATTTCAACTTTCACAAGTGCTTATAACTCGACTGAATATTTATTTTGATTTATCAGAATAGGGTGTTTGTGTGTTAATTACGTTTACTGCAGCCGGAGGTTCGAAAAAAAAACAAAATTATAATAATAAATTTAATTAAAAAGGAAAATACTTATAAAAATAATTTAACATCTAAAAATAACCTATGACCGTTTCGATGTTAGAAAACAGAGTGAATATAAAATATTATAATTGCTTAAGTGGTGTAAACTGCAGCGTCGGCAACTCGTGTCAGCTTGACCTCGACGTCGATGCACGGCGATTAGGTATATACATAGCTGCGTAAGGGATTTTCTTCCGGTGTTCATACATAATTTGTTCCTCACTAAAATGTTTTTAAAATCTCCCTTAATGTCGTATTGTGAACAGTCGCAGCCAGGCGAAGTGACACAAGCAGTAAAAGACGCCATCGATGTTGGCTACCGACACATAGACTGCGCACACATTTACCAAAACGAAAAGGAAGTTGGTCAAGCACTCAGTCAAAAGATAGCTGAAGGTGTAGTACAAAGGTTAGTGCCTTAAAATAACATAGGATATACATTTGAAAAGCTCCGAAATGTTGAAGATGGAGGCTGATTACTAAATTATTGCCATTACATATTTTCAATGATCTGTCTTTACCCGAGTTCGCCCGAGGAAATTATTGAAATTATTATTAATTACATAATGGGCACATCAATAAAAATTAAAGTGAAATGTTTAATTTCCGAAACCGCGCGAAAACGCTATTTCTGTCATACACCGCATATCGTCATACACGCACAAGTAAAACCTCATCAAACTACAAACGTCAACAAAAAGCCATATTTACTAGCGTGTGACGACATCGGCGTTGAAACCACATTTAGAAGGCGTTTTCGTCTCAGATAAAATGTCAAATATTTTATTTTATGTGATCTGCAAAAATTAAACATTATTTCGTTAAAAATAAAGTGAAATATGTGTTATTATTTTATACGATGACCACAATTTTTAATATATATCCAATGTTGTCAAATACCCTTTTGTAGCCTATGTCACCCACATAAGATGTAGCTTTCCGTAGGTGAAATATTTTTTATGATCAGTATTTTCAAAGATACAAACAAAAAACAAAGCTAGATATTTACCTCTTTATAGGTAATATTAGTTTAAATATTGTAGTATAATAGATACAGATTTCGCGTAGGTTAATATAAATCCTCATTCCTATACAATAAATAAAGGCGCAAATAGATCTTTCAAAATTTGCAATAACATAAAAACCAACTTCTGAAGAAAATTAATAAATATAAAGTAAAATATTATAAAGGGGGAGGCCTATGGGGGAGGTTCAGCAGTGGACGTCTTCCGGCTGATGATGATGATGATGAAAATATTATAAATATTGTGTCTCTGAGAATGGCAGTAATAGTAGGTATTTTAAGTCAAACGTAAATCATAGTTTTCAGTGGGAACGCATCCATAATAATCGAAAAGAATGCTATTAATTACAGTTCGTAAAGTTTTTAATTAAAAGGCAATTAACATGTGCCTATCATGTAACGCAAATCAAATATTTTCATTTGACGTAGGTATGGTGTTATTTTCCCACTAAGATTGAATTATATTAATTTTACCTTTAAGCTCGCGGTCTTACTTGGAGATGTAAACGTGGACTTCCAAAAATAGCTCATTTTATTCTTCCATAAATGTAAAGTTCTAAAAAAAGTCTGCATTTGCCGATATAAGTACTTACACTAAGATATAAGTATTAAAGAATATTGAAAACGTATTCTTTTTTATTTTTTGCATATTCAATAACTTACGGCAAGAGATTTGAGTTGATATATCGCTTAACTTATCGACTTTAATGTCAATTATATAAGCAATTTCTTATTAAATTGAAGCCATCTATTATCTACCTGACGAACTAGATAGAATTTCTGTTTTTTATCCAGTCATCTTCCCTATTCACCAGCATCCGAAACACTCCTAGTCTGAGTACTAGCTTTTTATAGGTACTACCCGCAATATATAACGACCATTAACTTTAGTACCAAGTTTAAACCATTACTCAAGCAAAATAAGTTAACACGTCTCAACTTACGCTTTCTCTTCTGCCGTTGTCAATTTGCTTTAGCTGACCCCACGCGGTATAAACTAAGTACTCATTTTAAACTTTGTTTTATAATAAGTAAGACGTTGTGTATTTATTTACCTTTTCATGCTTCTAAGAAATACTTTAAGCACAGTGACAGCGACAAAGGGGGTGTAGGACTCTTCCGTCGCCGGAGGCCTATCCACCGAAACCCCTAAGGTGTGTCCTTTACTGGGGAATACGACTTAAGAAGTAGTGATCGAGACGCCAGAATGTGTTAATTGATTTATAATACTTCTGGCTCGTGTTATTATTTCAGAGGAGATTTATTCATTACATCCAAACTATGGTGTACGTTCCATCGGCCGGACCTGGTGGAGCCAGCTGTCAGGAAGTCCCTACAAGATTTACAGTTGGAGTACTTAGACCTATATCTTATTCATTGGCCGGAAGGTTTCAAGGTTTGTATTCGAAGAAAACCCTGACTTGGAGCTAAATTTGAGTCCACAAAATTATTAGGTTTTTGTTATAATCCTATATAAAATCCGATTTTTTTAACCATCATTAGCCAGAAGTCTCGCAGGTTATTATTGAAATAAGATCATTGTTAAAAAAGATTTAAAATCGTATAGGTAACATATTTATTAAGTTTCTTTACTTTTGTCCCACCCCTTAGTAAATGCAAGGTACGCTCTGGTACGCACGCCCATTGGACTGCGTTATTTCTTTCGCCCGGGTTTTCTAGCAGATGCATAGCAACCAGGCGCAAAATTCTCGAGTGCTGTTGCTCAAGACATTGTTCTGCGAATATGTAGCAAACGGCGACCGACATAGACGTTTAGAATTGCGCTCCAGAATTACGGGTCTTAGTCCATCCTGTCCTAATTTTTAGATTAGTGTAAAAGTACTGTCGGCAAACAAAGGGCACTAAGCACGTTCACCGTTGTGCCTACTGCTAGATATCATAAACATGTTGTTTACTTTGATAGTGTGAAATTGTGTTGGAACATCTGTACAAGCACAATAGCAACATGTTTGCATGCGAGTGTAATAGATTGTAAAAAATTCTCTCTGCTCGGCGACTTAATATTTTTTCCTAAGAAAATAGACTTTTGAAAATAAATAAAATAAACTATTATTATTATTTTATAACAAATACGATGCTACTCTTGGAAATTTTAGGAAGGCGGCGATTTCTTCCCTAGAGACGCTTCAGGAAAACTGATCCCGAGCCATATAGATCACTTGGACATTTGGAAGGCTATGGAACAGCTGGTGAACAAGGGTCTGGTGCGAAGCATTGGTCTATCCAATTTTAACAAGCGACAAATAGAAAGAATTTTTGCAGCAGCCACCATTAAACCTGCGGTATTACAGGTAGAAACAGTTCCATAGTTACGGTTAGCGTGAAACATATGAAGTTTCTTTGTTGTTAGCTATCCTACGTATATTTTGTGCAGTCCTATTCTGTTATAAAAAAAAACAGTAAGCTGTTATAAACCAGCCGTAATTCGAGATTGTTTTCAACAGAAGAGCTGAAGGTAAGTGCTATTATGTAAAAAACAGATATCAAGAGTCTATTAATGTCTGCTGGGGTTCTGGCCTTCCCTATCAATGCAATCGAATGAAATCGAATAGGGAGAATGGGCCATAACACACCACGCGGGTCCAGTACTGATTGGTGGGTATTAACACGAAGCACGGAGGAGCTCGAAATAATAACTTTTTGGTCATCCGACCTACAACCGGCCATTGCGAAAGTTACTTAATAACAAGTAAGTTATCACAATCCAAGGGCGCTAACCACTGCGCTATCGAGCTCCTCAGCTACAGCTACAAAAATACAGCGTTAACGGAGATTAAATCAAAAGGAACCTCTAATGTTGGGACAACGCTGCGTTCGATGCTGTAATTTTATAGATAGCGTTGCTGTATATTCGATGTCGGTATATTTCGGCTAAGAATACAATTTCAGAGCAAACTATGATGTAATCGATTAAAAAATTAACAATCCCTGTAACAATTATTTATTGTTCGTTCAATTTTGGCCGCGAAGGTGAGACAGAAATGGAATTGTATTCTTTGATGTTTCTTAAATACAAAGTTAAGTGTGAGGTAACTGCGGCAATAAACGCCCGCGTTATTATAAGCCCCATCTCTAAGCTTACAGTTCAAACTTTACTTACTTGCACATGCGTAACACGACGTATCTATCAGAGTTATGCATGTGTGAATAAAGTTTAAAAGTCTCATTTTAGAAGCACTAAAATTCAGTGGTTTTATTGCAACGCGGGCCTTATATTTAGTAGGTACATAATTTTTATGTTCTCAGATTGAAGTGCATCCATACTTGAATCAGAATTTGTTATTGGAATACTGCAGAAGTATAAATGTAGCGGTGACCGCATACTCCCCGCTGGGCTCGCCGGACCGATCGGACACAAAGCCTGGCAAACCCTTGCTCATGGACGACCCCAGCCTTAAATCTGTAGCAGACAAATACGGGAAGAGTCCAGCTCAAGTCCTCATTAGGTAATTCGTAACATATCTTCAGTAAGTGATAGGGTTGCCAGATTTTTGTTCAGCTTGTAAGGAACAAATGGGTAAAAAGGGGAAAAATATAAGGGAATTACATGTTTTAGCCGGGATAAATAAAACAATTCCAATATATTTTACTTTATATTTTTCAGATGAATACGTTTGTTCGATGAATGTGTTTCAAGGCGCGCATGATATGATGAATTAAAAAAATCAATACGAATTCGTTGAATTAATATGAATTCGGTGCATGCATTTCATTAATTCAGTCGGTGTACTGAGCATGTTGCTCGGGTTAAATTTACTTATAATTTAATCAAAATTAAGAGCTTGTTGATTTTGATAATGAATCCATTGGCATAGGATAGACGAAATCGCTCACTGAATAGTACAGTGGCACAACTCAAAAACCATTATTTCGAGAAAACACCACTACATTGTGGTGGCAGCCCATAGATTCAGTGAACGAAATCTACCTCGTCAAAAACTTTTTTTTTAAGCTCTAGGAGTGTAGGTATATACATTTCCAGAATTACTTTCTAGACAAATTACTTTTGAACCTATTATTTATAACGATCATTTCTATTAATTTAACGTTTAAATCCTCCTATTATTCACAGATACGCCATAGATAGAGGCTTGATCGTGATACCCAAGTCTGTGAACAAGACTCGTATCTCCCAGAACTTCAATGTGTTCGATTTCCATTTGAATTCGGAAGATATGCAGCATCTGGCAGCATTAGAGTGCAACGGCAGAACTTGCACTTTGGGAGAGTAAGTTTGTTTATATGTAGCCTTTTTTTGACCTGGGGAAAATGCGTTACGCCTATCCCTGCCATCTGACGGCACGGCAGGGACTAAGTGAGACTTTGTCCCGCTTACGGACCTACTCAGTGGAATGACTACATAGCAGGATAAAGGATGGTAACCCACCCACTAAACCTATTTTTTATAACACAGGGGAAATGCACCCAAAGCTTTAAACCAACCACGCACTAGTCTTGAAAAGGACTTAAGCGTGACCGACTTACCTGGTAAAATCCGCTGTGGAAACCCTTACAGGGGAAGGCCCAGGCTCCAACATGAAGCACGCTGGGTCCTACCCACTAAAGCCTGGGCATCCCCTCTCGTATCAGTGGTACCCGGGAATCCAAGCATAATCGCTCGGCCAAAAGCTCTCAATTTTGATAGCCCATCATGTTTTAAATTTATCTTGTGGTTAGCTAAATTATTCATTCTCTATCCAAGTTCTACATCATCTTAATATTTGTACATTTCTAAATCATATTTTACAATCAGTACAACCAGTGACTTTTTCTGTTCAACATGTTTTTTCTTTAACGCGTGCCTAAAAGTTATATTAAGCATTTACTTGTATAATTTTTTTTTTTTTTTTTGTTTTCAGTGAGGAGCATCCTGACTATCCATTCCACGATGAATACTAAATTATTATACTTTATAATCGTTTAGGTTCCACTTAGGTTATAATTCTATATTGATTGTATTAGAACCTAAGTGGATTAACAAAATGCATGAAAAAAAAGAAAAGTCTGCGTCTACAGAACGACCGTAAGCTCTGTCGAGATTACAAATCTTGGACCGGCGACCTAACGAATATCGGTATTGTTTACGAACTTAGTTTTAACTTTCCGTGGCTGGTGAATTTTTCAATGGAGTCGGTGCAAATGTAACTGGAGATGCGTTAAACATCTCATGGAAGTATGCGAAGACCATCCGTCGAGTGTGCGAGGTCGAAAAATCATATCATTTAATTTTCCAGTGCTGACGTTCTGAGACCAACTAAACGCGACGCGACACCCGTTAGTTATGTACCGACCCTTACTGTAAACGATAAATGAGATAACTGATTGCATAATGTAAGTACCAGCACAAAAATATACCTCATAAACCATCATATGTATATCGTACATATTTTTCAAATGTTTTGTTAAAGCTGTAAAGGAATTATACTTAGATAAAATAAAAATACATAATTAAATTATAATTGGTTTTATTTTACATAATTACATCTATATTTAACGTGCATAGTTACAATACACTCGTCGTGTTACAGATCCAATAATAACTTGGTGTTGCCATGAAATATTATAAGATACATCTAAAGCCCGCGCCAGACACGTACGCACATTAGTGATACGCACGCACAATTATAGTACGCCAAAATGTTTATCTTCGTTCAAATCTTTGTTCTTTTGTTGGTGTTCAGGAAAACCTTTATTATAACCATAGTAAAAAGAATAGTACGCCGACTCCAGCCCCGAGCGAGAGATAATAGCCTAAACATGTAGTTTACTACCAGATTTGCTTAAATTAGATTGACATCTGATTAAATCAAACGCGCTTAATGTCTGTAAATTTCTGGTTTGATATAATATAGACTTGTTGGACAAATGATACAGAGCTTACGCGATAGTTTAAGAGAATTAATAAAACGTTGAGTACATTTGATTCAATCAGTTGCCAATCAAATCGAATTACGCGGTACCAAATCAAAGACAATGTAGTTAACCTGCAGGTTTGAACTCCATTTGCTCAGAATTTTAGCAAATGTACTGGGCCTCAATTCTGTTAATTTTTACATAATAATCAAATTTCAATGGAGTCTCGACTACTAACATTTTGTCATTGATTATCTACCTGAAGTCCAATATTCTTAATGCAATGTCTTCATCACAAATCAATGGTGACAGATATATTTATTATTATGTGACCTACTAAAAAGAACTATGTCATAAAGGCATAGTTCTTTTTAGTGGATCACAAAATAATATATATCTCACATAATTAGTAGTTGAGCGCTAATGACTTTAAGCTGCTTTAAGCTGCCATAGATGACTTCTAAAAAGGTGCGTAATTCAAAAATAAGAAACCTATTAACTAACAACATATTTATTCTTTTTCAGTTCCTTTTAAAAGGCAGCAAGCAATCACATTGCTGTGTTCATTAATTACTATTATTTACAATACAGAATGGATTTGACTCGATTTGTAACTGGACATTTGATTAATTTTGCAAACACAATGCTATACTCGAAAATATTATTCACGAGGATTGCTTAAAAAATTCACTTGGCCCTGGTTCTTTAAGATGGTCCTGGATACCTCAGCAGTTAGAACAGTCACCCGGATTGCGAATCGTCATGGGTGGGTTCGTATCTCCTATCCCAGAGTACCAGGGGCAAAGTGGATTTTTAAATTATTTTTCATTAAGCATATTTTTCAATAGATATTTTTACAATAAAGGGTTCGAAATTCCGTGATTCGTTTAATTTTGATTTTCTAATTACATACGACTACAATTTTACCGTGCGTTTAATTTAAACAATGCAGTAACGACTTAGAATAGATACCCATAACCAAAAAAATTACAAGTAATCTGCGACAAAAATTTAGGGGTCCAGTGATTTTTAGGATTAATATAAGAAATCAATTACATATTTTTTTGCTTTGAAGTTACAATGGCGTAGCGTGAACCCTTTTAGGATTAAGCTACATATCGCAACCGGTATGGCCATTTTCGGCGCTGAACCGCCGTTTGCTTGCTTTTTCTCGCTCTAGTAAGGGGCGGTATTGAGCAACATAAAGGGTTAGGACGCGTAAGGTGATATATGCTGCACGATGAAGCTCAAACAGAATGGCTCAGTTACAATAGTCGACGAGGGCAGCACGAGGAATATCTCTTAATTCTGATTTCTGTGCGCTCATCTGATTAGTCAATAAAATAATGAACGACCAAGGAACAAAATTAGTCCGGTGCACACGCGAATGACATTGACCAGTGTAACATGAGCCATTACAGCGAGTTGCCTCTTTGCCCACGCCACTGTTTGACTAGTTTTTTGGACTAATGTAAAAAAGTTTTAAATTCTCGCGTGCATATTTATTTCCAAAAAGGACAATTAGAAAGATTGAATCGTTGCAACAAGGTAGTTTAGACATTCCAACGCATTATTGCAAGGCCACTTTCGAACTTTGTCGTAGTAAATTCTACTTAAGCAACCTTACATTTCTAAATGTCGGGTATACATTTTTTTATTCAGAACTAGCTGACCCGACAGACTTCGTCCTGTCAAAAAGATTTGTAATGTGGAATTTTTTTTGCCTACGTATTTAAGCATTTCTGGTTCTTCTACCTAAATTGCTTCGTCTTATAGGAGGCATATCAAATATAAATTATTTTTTCACTAATCACGAACTAAACAAACACTAACTAAGTAAACACTCTGCACAAAACACGATATACGAATTTGTTTCGTGTATCACTTGACAAAAGCAAACTCAGTAGATTAGGTCACAGACAACTTTTTTTTTTATTTAAATTTGATATGACTTGAAGTCAAATCCTTTTAAGCCGTACGAATTGTTTTATTGATTTAAAATTTGGATATTAAAAATAATAAAACACTGTTGGTAACGCGATTTTGTTTGACTGATGTAATGACGTGGAAACTGATGCATTTTATCTCGCGTGCCGAAACTAATACAAAAGAAACGCGAGTTTCGGAACGCGACATTAAACTCCTCCAACTATGTATTCTGTGCTCCAACGCACACACGCACATTGTTTTGATAGATATGATCTTTGACGTTAGGAACACACCTACATTGCTTAGACAACAGTGAGTGCTTGTAATTTAATATGAACTTTATACCATAGCAATAAAGCTCAAATTGACTACGTTTTAGTTACAAATCATTTGTATGGGAAAAAGAAAAGGGCTATTTTTAGGGTTTTTCCAGCAATAATTCTAATTTTTCTCGCCGTAAAAACCATCCTTGAACTTCAACGAACATTTTAAAAAAAGATTTGGCCAAATTGGTCGAGGCGTTGTTGAGTTATGCGCTTACCAACACATTTTGCGATTCATTTTTATATATATAGATGTACAATTTGCATTTTAATTTGTTTTTGCACCGCGAATGGTAACGATACTACGTTATTCACAAATCAGCAACACCCTTTCAAGTAACTATCAAAGCTTAGTTTGTAGATTTAAATATCCAGCCGAGCGAATGTAGAAACAATTCTTTCAATTATAATTATTATTAAATACTAAAATAAAGAGTTTGGTTATATTATCAATTTTGCCGTAATAAATCTATATATAGTAATAACGCGTGTAGCTTAAAATTTTTATACATATTATATATTTTACACTTTTTTAACCAACAATTTCAATATAATTTTGTAAAATTTTTTACAACAATGAAATTTTTTACTTTTAACGAAACAATTTTAAGGCTGATTTATTTTGGTGCTTACATTCATATAATAAAACCATCACAAACTTTAATGAAATAACTTAGTGTCCATTTTAAATACAATTTCTTAAATAAAATAAACATTATTATAATAGCACTGGCCATGCTTTTTTATTAGTTACATTTATGACTCATAAAAATTTTAACTTTAAAATTAACTATGTTTTTTTGTATTTTTTTTTCTTTGATTCTTTGATGCATACATATCTACATATTGTATTTATCGAAAAAAACTTTTTAAATATTGATTAAATATTAAACTTTGAATTTTCTTAACGTGCACCAATAAATTCTAACAGCTTCGTCACCGCTCGCTTTTAAATGAATCGTGAATCTTAGGGTCAGTACATATCTGATGGAAGATTCGAAAAATGTCTCACGGCGTTGCGTTCGTACGCGTCAGCGAAGATGGCGAGTGTGCTAGTTTGAATGCCATATTACAATATTACAAATATTGTGTTAGTTCTATACAAATATAGTTCTGAAGTTCCGCGGTCGATGAAACGAACGCGATTCATCTTCCGTTAGATATACACCGATCCAGAGCCAGGTTAACCCTTCTTAAAGGCTTCTAGGCAATACAACTCTCGGGACCGCCTTTTACTTACTCTGCTTGATCGAAGAAGGGAGGGGATTTCAACGAATTAAATTCGTGTGTGTAAAGTTTGGATAAGTTCAAATGCAATAAAATCAAATAGACGAAATGCTTGTATCCTTACAAATTGTTAATCTTGGAGAGTTCCCTAGAGACCCTGGTCTTAATATTGACACAAAAAAATTGTTGTCACTTTAATATAGAATTCTTAGTCCCTGAAAACAATTTTTTTTTTTTGTATAATACCTGGGGACCAATTCTACTATATAAATTTTGTTTAAATCGATCCGTTTTCGATTCGATTTAAACAAAATTTATTTGGTAGAATTGGCCCCCTGTACTTGTGGAATGACTGATATGTATATAACTACATATTATTATAATCTGCGTAAACTGAACTAAAATGGCAACCAACTGTTTGCGCTGTAAGATTACAAATCCTGAAGATGCTCAGTGAAAGGCACAATTGTAGAGAAGTGATTTTTACGAAATTGGTTACCGTTTGTACATATGGCTAAGTGCGCGGTGCACAGGCAGGGGGATTAACATGACCTCTTATAGCAATGTTGAAACCGTGCAGCGAGTGGAACAGCGCTATACGAAACAATGGCAGTGTCTCGCTCGCAAAACGATTAAACATTGTTATTAGACCTCATGGTAAGCCCATGTCTTGGTATTGATAGAGATTCTGATTGGGTGTGGAAGTTCATAGTTATATTCTGACTCTATTAAAATTACTATTTTCCGCACACGTTTCAGTCTCCCGATAAATGTATTGCTATGATTAAGTTCTGCGTCTCACCTAGGGCCGGCTAGTTCATATAGGCAAACTTGGCAACCGACAAGGAAGTTCGTATTTGGGGCGCGGCATAATATAATCTGTTATGCTTTAATTATTTGAAAGCAGTACCTAAAAAAATTTTTTTTTTGTTTTTTGGACGTAATGCATATCCGCCGTGTTCAAAAATCTGTACTTTGTATATTCTACTAGTACCTACCTAATTAGGTTATTTATTAATTTCTTTATGCACATGTGTACATAGGCGGATTTAATGTCTAAGGCATTTTCTACTAATCAACCTTGGGGTGATGCGGAGACACATTGTGGTAAGGTGCGCAACCAAAACAATTTAAAAAAACGACTAGAAGGTAGTACAAATATCTGAAACATAATATAGCATAACGACTAACCACTCAAGGAATCGCTTGTTCCAAAATTCCACGAGAGAATAGACTTAACAAAGAATGATGAATGAATAACATATGAGTGATGAGAAAGACAGAAAAGCAAACGCTTAGAAGAAGAACGCAGGTTTTTACTGTGACTTGTGCTCAAGTAATGAAAGTGTGATGTAACATAGGATAGGATGTAGGACAATACGCACAGCTCTGCGCTGCCGAATAGGCGTCCATTTAAGTTGAGATCGATATTCGAACACGTGATCATATTTTCGTAGATTGTAGTAAACGAATCGAATGCAGTTATTCAGAAGACGATCAAGTTTTTTGAGTAGATCTGTATTCAGGTCGAGATAGCAGACGTAACCATAGTCGATTACAGGAAATATTAAGGTCTGCATAAGCGTTGTTTTGATGTTAGATGACAAAAAAATATTCATCCGATAGAGGGCTCGTAACACTCCAGTCGCTTTTTACAAACGCTGGCAAAATTACTCTTTGGTCGATGTACCTACTACATTAGTTTTGTTGTGATTTTTGAGGGCGTCATTCCAATGTTTTGTCAAGGTTACCAAGTTTCATTGAGTCGGGGCTAATCTCACGACCCAAAAATAAGCTATTGAGAAGTCGCCATATTAGTTCAACTTACGCGCCGCGCTTTATATAACCGCGAAGTAATATTCTGCCGGGTAATTTAAATATGTATTACATAAATATACTCTTTTAGTTTTTCAATATATATTTACTATATATAAATATATAGGCTATAGATTTTCTTATCTCTAATATAAAACGAAATACAAGGCATCTTTAACATTATAAACTATTCATAATAATGAATCATTTAGTTACTATTATTTTTAATAAGTTTTAATGAGCTTTCAATATATTTTTTATTTTAAAACTAAATTACTTTTGGTTTAACTAATATAGATTGGGACACGAGTGATAGAAGTCAAATAATATAAATAGAAAATTCAAAGACTAAGGTTTTCATATATATCGACGCGTCTCATGAATGCGGAACATCTGAACAAACAAAAATATGATTCAAAATTCCACCTTGCACATTAGACCAGGGGTCGGCAACCTTAGGAGTCAAAATAGTCAAAACAACAATTTATCAAATTTCGGTTTTTAACTCTATACATAATGATGAAACATTTAATAGATTCCTTCAAATTAAATTTTGTATTTTTTGACGGCACATATAGGTGCAATAGAAAGTTCATGCATAATTAGCTAATTGCAATCAATTTTGAAGTATATAAGGCCTTTTGTAGTAACGCGACTGTACTAAAATAACTTGTAAGATATTTATAGTAAAGTAGTGGCGCCTAAGCTGCCCCGCAGTTTTTAAGCTATCAAGTACAAACCAAAACCTAAATATATACTTTTAAATTGCAGTCCTATGTTCTTATTGGTTATTTGGCCGCGGGACAACATTAGAAACAAATTATAATTGGTCCTTAGGCACATTAGCATAATTTATTAGACCGTGATAAAAATAATATTATTATGGTATTGTTGCCTAATAAGGCCGACGGTTATTGGAGTGCTAAAAAGCCAAAAATAACACGTCTTAATCACAGTCCTGCATCAACAGATCAGTAAGTGCGGAATAATGTATATAATTTAAATCTATTCCAAGAAGCATGCAAGAAGTGGGCCTTATTAGGCGATATACCTTATATGTAACTATTGTCGATGCTCGATGCAAATTACTCGTATCTCAATCTATACAACTACTAATTATAATACTTATTATAATACTGTTAATGATGTGTGGGTACCAAGACTCACTCCAACCAGTCTCCGTCACTGAAACTCTCTACTACGTGTACCTGTAACAAAAAAAAAACATAAACATATTATTTTTTCTTTATCAACTTCATCTGAATTGGAAATTATGTCTATCGAATTTCAGAATGCCCATTGTGTCACATTGGTTTGTCCATACAATGGGGAGGATGACTATTTTTGTTTATTTAGCAGTCGGGTAGATATTATTTATTAATGAACATGGAACACGTATTTTTTTCTAAATCAATAAATAAGGGCCATACGATGAGTTTAAATATTTAATTGGGTTTAATTTAAACTTTATCTTAAAATTATACATCATCATTAGCCTATTAATGACCCCCATTGGCTTTCCAAATGGATAGAATCGAATGGGGAAAACATGCTATGAGCCCAGTGCGGATTGGTGGGTGTTAACGGCTGCAGATGCAGATGGGCCCAACGGGACCAGCGGCATAACGTGCCTTCCGAAGCTATGACATTAGTCTTGTGTAGTTCACGAACGAACTGATTCGAAGAACCGGCTCATACAGGCGAACTACGCGCACTAAATCCCATATTTCCCGTTACGTAGATCGTGACAGTTTTTTTTAGTTATTTTTAAAGTAATACAATTATTTTCATACAAATATATAACTACGAATTCATACAAAAAGTGTCACCATGCTAATTAGAAGTGTTGGAGGTTTCTTTGTTTTTTTTTTTTTAATTTTATTTGGTAATTCAACAGCTTGTTTACAATAACTAGAACTACAATCTTATCTTGACTTACAGAACAAGTTCAATTATATGTTGATTTAATATTGAAATTAAACATAAAATGTAAGTATATGTTTCATAACTTAAGCTATGTTCACATTACCTTACTTATTAGTTAAGATTTACTAAGTAACAATGGCAATTGCACATCGTATTAAATTAACGATGGCGAATAAGAAAGTAAAAAACAACGGTGATAAAGCCCAAAACACATATACCTATATAACATGTACTAAATATAGGTAGTTAGGTATGGTAAAAAAATACAATACATAATACTATGATATGGATAGTGAATTACAGACTTCACTAATGAGAGAAAAACCGTTTTAATGACTGTTTTAAGGAATATATACTTATGTTAAAAATATATTTTTTGTTGTATGACCTAGGCAGATGGGACACAATAGAATTGTAAGCGTAATTACTGTGGTGTGTGTGCACATAAAACAAGGGCCTCTGTCTCGTACGGTATTTTGGAGTACAAAAACTAAGTTCTGAGAGAAGAATGAGAGCATCCAGTTTATTAGATATGATATCAGCAAATATCCAATAACCGTCGCCGAGATTCCAAGGATAAGATATTGTAATGACGACAATCATCCTCGTATCCGCTTCTGCGTATAGATGTCTTGTAGTTCAGATGATTAATGAAATTCTTTTATATTTTCTCCGTTCGTCTGTCAATATATATATTGCATATTGTGGTGACTACATTGTTTTTTATTTCGACATGGATTTATATAATATCAAAGTGTCAACATTTAAACCTAACTAAAATGTTAACAAAACCATGATGCTTCGATAGTATTCGACGTTGAATGCATACAACAACGCAGTAAAGCCGCCAATACTGTGCTATAATATTTTTTTGCATATTATACTCGTACTTTTCCCAATGTTTACCAATGTATATTCAATTGATTTACGTATTGGGTTGGGTTAGGATCTATTTAATTAATACATTGTACTAATATAGGTATATCTATAGACTTTTCGAAGAGTATGATCTCATATCGAACGACATATACAAATACGAAATACTTATAATATAATCGGTTCTTATTCTTTTGTTTTCTGATGACAACATGTAATTGATTTTTGAAGTTCATAACCAATATGGGGTATTATTACCGAAGGACTGCAAGGGAAGTCAGGATTACTGCAAATCTTGTTTAACAACTACGACTAAGTACAAAAAAGCAATTTTCTATTCTATAATTTATATTAATTTCTGACATATTTCGCATGACAATTAAAGTAGTTCTACTTATATTCAACTACGTAATATAACATTGTCTTATGGCAGAATTTACACTTGGTCGCTATATAATTTGGGTAATCAATTCCCAAAGCAAAGCCCAACACACCTGTCTAGTAGTGTTTCATCTACCTTGTTTCCAGATCCTCGAATTCTGAAACCAACACAATATTTCGTGCAGTACTTTACATTTAAAATTATTAGGTGACCAGTGTTACAAATAGCCCAATTCAAGCAGCTGCTCGAGCTCTCAAAGAGGTTCTATCTAAGTGCAATCTAGTGTTCCAAGTTTCAACAGACGTTACTTCTTGCCAACTGTTACGATTAAACGAACACAGTCCGCGGTTGAAAACCAAATCCTACAAAGGTTACCTTTGTATCACCCTTAACGACCAAGTGTGAACGCGCCATTAGATTTATTATAACATGAGTAACAAAAATAAATAAGAAAAAATTATAAAAATAATGCCTAAATAAAACGCGTGAAAGTTCAAAATAAAAAGTACAATCTTTATTCAATGGTCATGTTTGTTATGGTGAATAATAAACCTCGCGCGGTTCCCGCAACATAAGGGACCGTGAACAAATTTTAATTAATGTTGGCCAAAGATTATTCGATGTCGGCCAGAGAGTGGAATGCCTTATTCAACATTGGCCAGTGCAGGCAAGCATGCAAAAATCACTGCGCACAACTCACTCAGTTGTCATCGTCATTTTCCAAATAGTCATCATCATCCGCAGCGGTTTCTTCTTCTGTGTACGCCGGGATTTCATTTTCCCGTTCATCCACCTTGTTGTATGCGTGCAATAAGTTGTTGAGTATCAAACAAATTTAAAAGTATCAAAAAATATTGGTTAGTTCATTACTAAAATGAAGTTAATATTTTTTAAATAACTACTTTGGTAGTAGTTTTGGAAGTGTCGTTTCGAAAATCTTAAGGAACTTTACTTATATCAAGTCTTATTTTAGTCGTAACTTAAGAAATAAACAAAATTAACTGTTAAATTAAGAATAATGTAATAGTAAATTTTTAGAACAATACATATTAAAAAAAAATTTATGAATGTAATAAGAAAACATTTAAAATACGTTAAACATAATCTTGTTACATATAATCGCAGCAGATCTTTAAGATAGTCCGTACGTAAAAATGTGTCTTAAAACAGACAGTTAGTAAATAACGTTAGCTCTTTTTTTTTTAAGGCTGTATGACACATAAACATGCTGTTATAAGATTTTCAGTTTTAAAGCATATACAAGTAGACATTTAAAATTTAATGAATTGTTAAATGTTATCAAATATATCACGAAATTTTCAACCATATTTCAACTCACTTCATCTTGATTTTCTGTATTTTCCAAATAATCATCATCCTCAGTTGGTTGTTCATTATTTTCTTCTTCTGTATTGGCTACAATTTCATTATTTCCTTGTTCCACCTTGAAATGTATCCATGTAAATATAAATGTCAAATTGAACACGAAAATTATAAAACCTAATAGTTGCTATATAAACGAGTCTGCCAATAAAGATTTATATGTTCATGAAACTTTTATATATACAAGCCTGGTATTTATTTATCGAATTAAATCAATAAATACATTTAATTTATCAAATATTTCACGTAATTCACAACTATTTTTAACTCACTTCTTGGATTTCTGTATTTTCCAAATTATCATTATCTTCAGTAGCGTCTACAGTATTTTCTAAATAATCGTCATCTTCATTTGGGCGATTTTCATTATTTTCTTCTTCCGTATTGGCTATAATTTCATTCTGTTCTTGTTCCACCTTGTCATTCTGTTCTTGTTCCACCATGACAGGTATGCGTGTAAGCATATGTAAATATTGAGTAAGCGTTTTTATAGTTACTTATTAAGAATCAATTGACATAGTGCGTATAGTTCATCCATACTAATATTATAAAGCTGAAGAGTATGTTCGTTTGTTTGAACGCGCTAATCTCAGGAACTGCTGGTTTGAATTGAAAAATTATTTTTGTGTTGAATAGATCATTTATCGAGGAAGGCTTTAGGCTATATTACATCATGCTGCAACTATTAGGAGCAAAGAAATAATGGAAAACGCGGACGAAGTCGCTGGCGGCCACTAATTTTCAAATAAATCTTAAGTAATAGATTGATATGAATTGCGGTTAGCGGAGAGCAATATGAAAAACAATTTGGTTTAGTGTTATGATATGCTGTTCTTATCAATTTCTTGTTTATAATGCTATATTGATATTCATCTTAAAAAAATGCATAAGACAATCCAGTCCCAATTTTAAAATTTCTGTGTACTGTCTTCAGCTCTATGATATGCTAACGGTAAAGTTACCATAACAGTGTAATAATGTTATATTGCCGGAGATGGTTTCCGATCGTTTTTATATTTATATTAGTCAAGGTCGCGCCAAGTACCTAATTTTAAGTATCAGAAACGGTTGATGAAAAACTACTAATCTTTTTTATTCATCAATAATAATATTATAGATAATACGAGTATGTTAATTTATTTTAACGTGCACAAGGTTAATTTCGAAGACATTTGCATGATATTGAATTTTTGATTAATTCTTTATGCACAAACGTACATAGGCGGTCTACATAGGCAACTTTTCTGTCAATCAACCTTAGGGTAATGTGGGAAGAATATATGGTCAGGTGCGCAATTACAATCAAAATAACCATAAGAATAGACTAAACTAGATAAGCTACTTAATATACATACAATATAATATACATAGAAACATACATAAATACAAATACAATATATTAACCATTAAAGGAATCTGCTTGCTCTAAAAGGTAGCTGCGTAACTTCGTTTTAAACGTATTCCGACTGGTATGCGAGTCAACTACCAAGTTCGCAATATGAACATAATAAAAAGATAATTGATGTATTCAAAGAGGAATTCCAGACATAACAAACATCAACAACATTCCACCGGCTATTGTGACACCATGGACTTTAAGGAACGAAACCTAAACTACAACAGAGTATAAAAGCAGGTCGCATTGACTAAACTTGGTTTATATCTGGTCTACTAGTAGTACTGTATCAAGGTGTCTGTACAGACACCTAAGTAAAAGTTAAAAACATAAATTATTGTAAAAGTAATATTGTGAATTTTAAATAAAATTTCTTTTTTTTTAAACCTTCCAAGAAATACTTCCAAGTTCGCTCAACCATTCGTATTTACTTTTAAGTCATTAAAACACAAGTTTGTCAAGCTATGAAACAAGGTGTCGGAATCATTGTCATCTTCACGCAATTGTAAGTGCCTGAAGCATTTCTTATCACGCCAAAATTCCGCTCCTGAGACCCCTAAATTTTGTATATAAACCTAAAGATAATATTACTAGTTTAGACAGTATGACCGACCCTCATCCTAAGATGGAGGGATTAGTAAATGTACAAGCACAAATAGACCCTAGTGTTCTAATAAAGTTTGTACCTAATTATAATGGTGATGCATTCACAATTTATAATTATTTAAATAGTGCAAAGCAATATTTACAGGTAGCAGGAGGGACAACACGTCAAAATGTAATGTTGTTACTTAGTAAGTAAGAAGTAAAGGCTGCGTTAGTCGATTCTATGATCGCGCATAACTTTAATTGGAATATCATCAAGGTTATTTTAAAACAAGAATGTGGTGATAATCGAGATTTAAATACTTTATTAATTGAGTTATCCAACGTAAAGAAAAGAGGTACTTATAAGGACTTAGTATTCGAATTAAAACAAATATAATTTTTTATAAAAAGAAAGTTACATGATAAGTATAGTGGAAATAATAATATGTTAGTTGACGAAATAATGGAACCTCATATTAATACAGTTCAAAATGCTTTGAGAAACGGCCTACCATACCATGATCAAATATATGTTTCTAATTGTTCATTTAATGAGACAATCGCCAAAATTTTACAGCTAGAAACAGAAGGCAGGTTTGAAAATTTTAGGCAAAAAAATTCTAACATAATTCCGCCATCGAGAGTTATAAATCAATCAATACCAAGACCTAGTACGTCGTCATTTCCACGACAAAGGGTAATTAATTCGGCATACGTCGCCCGCAACAACAATGGGTCATCATATCATAAACGACACCCGTGGAATCCAAACCCAAACACCGTATTCAGTAAACCACCGCATCGATTCTTCGAAAATCAAAAGAATAATAACAAACTTTCGCAGTACGATTCTCAAGACGTCAGTATGAGGACGGTTCCTCGGCTAAAACCGGGACAAATAAATTTAGGGATACTAGAATATATAAATCTTCATATAGGAAGTTTTTCCTATGTCTGAATGAATGTTACACAAGTAATAATAAAAATTTTATTTTGTTTACCTTTCTTTCATGGGCATAAATATAACTAAATTCTATTCTAATTATACACTTACAATTAGAATTCAGCAAAACAACAGGTAGATAGTTATAGTTCAATACTGGCTTGGGAGTAAAAGATGAATTTACAAAATTCTAGCCTCATCGCAAAAGAAAATGGAAAATTGCCCAACTCTTTCAGAATACCTAACGTTCAAAGTTTCAACAAAACTATTATATATATTTTTAAAATTTAACTTGAAAATAAAATGTTCTGCACTGCTGCTTCTGTGACCCTTTTTTTTCTAATGTTATAATGAATGGAGTATATCTTGACTTAATACTGCACCTACGCTATGTCCGAGGCGTCCGTTGTAAAAATAAACGTTTTGTTAAAATCTGGGAATGCTAATATTGGAGCGTTTTTTAGTAAATTTTTACAAGTACTCATTGCTTCAATATATTTTTATTAATTACAGCACCGTTATTTTTGTAGCTTCCGTTAAAGGATTTATTATTTTACTTAAATTCGGAACAAACTTTCTATGATATCCTATTAACCCTAAAAATGTACGAACTTCTATTAAACTTTTAATGGCTTCTATCTTTTTTTGATTTGTTTTTAAACCATCCTTATTTAATAAATGACCAAGAAATTCTATTTCTTCTGTCATAAACACACATTTATTTTTATTAACTTTTAAATTAGTCTTTTTAACGCTTTAAAAAGTTGTTGTAATCGATTGACATGATCTTGTTTATTTTTAGAATAAATCATAATGTCATCTAAATAACACAGACATATATTTTTATTTATTTCATTTCTAAATACACTATTCATCATACGTTGAAATGTTGCCGGTGCATTCTTTAAACCAAACGGCATTCTAAGAAACTCATAATGTCCATCGGGTGTACTAAACGCAGTTTTCTCAATAGAGTTCTCACTCTAATATTTGATGATAACCTGACGTAAGATCTAACGTAGTAAAGTATTTATTACCCTGTAATTTTGTTAATAATTCCTCTATATTTGGAAATGGGAATTTATCAGATTTAGTTTTTTCATTTAAACGTCGATAATCAATAACCATTCGCCATTTTTGAATACCTGACTGATCTATCTTTTTAGGTATTATATGGACTGGTGAAGACCAAGGGGATTCAGAAGGTGTAATAATGTTTTCTTTTAATAATTTTTCAATTTGTTTCTTAACTTCTTCTTGTTGAATTTGTGGTAACGTATACGGTCTTTGATATATTGGTTCATCATTTATTAAATTAATATTATGTTTAATAATGTAGTAGCACTATTAGTAACATCTTCCGTAAAAAGCTCATCATAAATTTTACATAAATCATTTATATTACAATTATCATCTACTATCATATGATATATTAATACTATTTGGCATGCATAACTTTCTCTCCTTTAAATCAATTTTTGCACTTACTTGTTCAATCATATCAGTTCCCATTAAAATATCGTATTCATCACTGAAATCATAAATGTAAAATTTTATTAAACTATCTCTTTTACCGAAATATTTACGCCAATAGGAAGTTTCTATAATTCCATTATGTGACGTAGCACCGTGTGACTTTTTACCGTAAATTTTCTGGCTTAAACAATTTAGAAAAACATTTACTGAACTTTTTTTGTAACAAATGACCTCTGACTACCGGTATCAATAAGAATTTTTAATCTCGGTCTCAAAGTACGGCAAATAAGATTTAACATGACTATACTCTATGTATTCTGGGACGTACCTGGCCTGTAGTAAAAATCTGTTATATTATTGTTATATATTCACTTTCACTTTGCACTTTATTTTAAATATTATTTACATCGCTTAAGTTTTCATCGTGTTGGATATTCATATTTCTTCGGCTACCATGTTTTTCCCTAAGTTTATTTGTCCCGGTTTTAGCTGAGGAACCGTCCTCATATTGACGTCTTGAAAATCGTACTGCGAAAGTTTGTTATTATTCTTTTGATTTTCGAAGAATCGATGCGGTGGTTTACTGAATACGGTGTTTGGGTTTGGATTCCACGGGTATCGTTTATGATATGATGACCCATTGTTTGGCGATTGTCTCATTAAATGAACAATTAGAAACATATATTTGATCATGGTATGTTAGGCCGTTTCTCAAAGCATTTTGAGCTGTATTAATATAAGGTTCCATTACTTCGTCAACTAACATATTATTATTTCCACTATACTTATCATGTAACTTACTCTTTATAAAAAATTAAATTTGTTTTAATTCGAATACCAAGTCCTTATAACGTAAAGAACGTAAAGAACGTTGGATAACTCAATTAATAAAGTATTATAATCTCGATTATCACCACATTCTTGTTTTAAAGTAGTCTCGATGATATTCCAAATAAAGTTATGCGCGATCATAGAAACGACTAACGCAGCCTTTCCTTCTTACTTACTAAGTAACGACATTACATTTTGATGTGTTGTCCCTCCTGCTACCTGTAAATATTGCTTTGCACTATTTAAATAATTATAAATTGTGAATGCATCACCATTATAATTAGGTACAAACTTTATTAGAACACTAGAGTCTATTTGTGCTTGTACATTTACTAATCCCTCCATCTTAGGATGAGGGGAATTTGGGAGTCTTAGGAGCGGAATTTTGGCGTGATAGGAAATGCTTCAGGCACTTAAAATTGCGTGAAGATGACAATGAATCCGACGACTTGTTTCATATTTTGACAAACTTGTGTTTAATGACTTAAAAGTCAATACGAATGGTTGAGCGTACTTGGAAGTATTTCTCAAAAATTCTTGAACACAACTTCTTCGTAACTTGCTGGGCCCCACGTTGGGCGCTAGTCAAAATACTTGAAAAACGATAATTTAAAAAAAAGAAATTTTATTTAAAATTCCTTATATTACTTTTACAATAATTTATGTTTTTAACTTTTACTTAGGTGTCTGTACAGACACCTTGATACAGTATTACTAGTAGACCAGATATGAACCAAGTTTAGTCGATGCGACCTGCTTTTATACTCTGTTGTAGTTTAGGTTTCGTTCCTTGAAGTCCATGGTGTCACAATAGCCGGTGGAATGTTGTTGATGTTTGTTATGTCCGGAATTCTTCTCTTGAATACATCAATTATCTTTTTATTATGTTCATATTGCGAACTTGTTAGTTGATTACCGTATTTTGACTTGCGTTTAAAACGAAGATATTGATTTCATTATATTACAGTTAAGATGTCATTGCATGATCTCAGATTATCATGAATAGATTCAGTATTGTTTTATTTTAATACTAGCTATTGTCCCGCGACTTTGCACGCATAAATTATAGCCTATCAACCCTATGTCATATAGATACCCGTAGGAGAAAGAATTTTTAAAATCGGTCAGAGCCTATTCGATGCAAATAAACAATCTAATCTTTCCTTTTTTTTTAAATTAGTATAGATAAAGTCATATCGAGATAAACAAATAAAATTAATGTGTTGAATGAATGGTGTAATGACCAAACAATTAATTTCATCTAACTCACACTGCCTTGGCTGTACTCGCTATCCACTTGGGAAACATCGTCATCATCATCATCAAGTTGTATTGGATCTAGTGGAGCTGGAGGAGTGGACATGTTAGGTTCTTGGTTGACGGGGACGGGTTGAAGCGGGGATGGAATGGATTGTTGAGTAACAGGACCGGGTTGAAGAGGGGACGGAATGGCTTCTTGAGGAACAGGACCAGGTTGAAGCGGGGACGGAACGGATTCTTGAGGAGCAGGACCGGGTTGTGGTGGCAGGTTATGTTCTTGTTGATTTAGGGGGGGTTGTTGCGGACCGGTGGGAGGGACGCCTGGGCTTGGATAAGAAGGTTGACCAGGGGGATGCATCTGGTAATTGTTAGATATGTTAATTTTGTATATATATAAGAAAATCACAAAACTTAGACTAAGTTCATTTAGCAAAAAAAAGGATATGTTAAATCTTATTTCGGTTAACGGTTGGGATAGGATAAATAAGTTAATTCATAGGAACAATTTGAATAATAAATGAGCCACTAAATTGTTATTTATTTTTTAGGGTTCCGTACCTAATGGTTATACTCCGCTGTCCGTCCGTCCGTCTGTGAACCGTGATAACTAGATAATTAAAATGATCACAGATGATGTTTTACACAACAAATACTTAAAAACTGAATAAATTATATATTTTTAATTGTGCACCCTACTATCGTCAATTTTTCCCACAACATTCTACAGTTGACTGATAGAGAATGCTTAATATATTTTTTCAATGAGTTTTCATTTATGATCAGTGATGATCAATATGACTGAATTTGTTGTAAGTTTAATGATGTGTGTGAAGTATTCTGCAGCAAGAACATTTCCTTAATTGGGTACCCGAAATTTAAAACAATATATTGTGAAATGTATTGTAAATGGTAACTATACCTATATAAACTAAACAGTGACTATCTATTTATTTTATATAATCTGTGGATTACAAAAACCGAAATGCAGGTCGTTATGACCGAGCATCGTGTCACGTTATTTCAATAAACTAAACGTCAGCCTCTCTGTTGCGAGTGCAACCAGTACTCATGTTTATTAAAATGTGACGTCACTACTCGAAACGACACGCAACTGGTTGTTTTCTCGAGACGGTTTAAATTAGTGAGTAAAAATATGTTTTCTCTTTATTCACTATCACTTTTTGGAGAATAACAAACTGGTAGTGGTATAAAATCATATGAAAATTTTTGAATTTTTCTCAAACGCAATAGTCCATCAGTCAGGTAATAGAAAAATATTACAAATATACATTTTTTGCTTCAATGTGACAAGAAATGTCATAGATGGTCGGCGTTAAAGTTGAGAAGTGGAGGCTTGCTACATCACGACTACGTAGAAAATGTACAAAAGTCGACGTAATGCGACATTCCAAGTCAATGTATCGTAATACGTGTACAATATTTTTCTATATTGTATTTGATGGTAAAAAAAAACAAAAAATAACCATTGTCCCTATTATAACTTAAGTATAAATATGTGTGCACAAAATATTAAATCAATAACGCCTTACCTCCGTGGTTGGACTGTCACTGCTAAATCCGCCGCCGAGCGCGTACCCCGCGAGTCCGCCGGCGGCGAGCGCGCCCACGCCCATACCTACTGCGGCGCCCGTACTCATACCGCGCCGTTGCTGCTGCGGCGCCATATACGTAGCCTCTTGGTACCCCTGCTTTATTTACCAATTAAATTAAGCTACGGCACTTTTAATGGATGGATTACACGTGATTAAGAACAAAGTAGATTTTTTACAAAAAAAATAAGTAATCAAATACGTGTTAACACAAAAATAATTAATAAGTCATCATCATCATTAGCCTATTACTGTTGGGGCTTAGGCCTTCCCTATGGTTGGGAAATCGAATCAAATAAGGAAAATGGTCCAAAACCCACCACAGGGCTCAGTGCGGATTGGTGGGTATTAACAACTGCAGGTGCAGCTGGGACCAGAGGCTTAACGTGTCTTTCGAATCCTCTCCTCCAGGCGAAATAATAAACTTATTTTGGTAATAAATAAATTTTGGTCACCCATCCTATGACAGGCCATTGGGAAAGTCGCTTAACAACCTTATCGAGCTCCTCATGTAATAAGTAGCAATTCAATATTTTTTTACGCGTTTACTAATTTCATTTATTGAGCAATTTTTTTTTATTCTAATAAACATTAAAAGTAATTAAGAACTTGAATAACAATATTTTCACTTTATAATACTGCATGGGTCATACTTACAGCGGGAATTGCAGCACCCGGAGCGAAACCTGAAGAATAAATATATAATAAAAATATTATTAATATTACAGTTCTGTAACTTTAGCCATATTATTATACAACTAGTTCTTACTTTATTATCAGGTTTAAACCATTATCCAACCAAAAATCAGCTGTGGCAGACGGACAGACAGACAACTGAGTGATCAAGGCTATGTTATTTCTTTCGAGTTGTAGAACCCAAAAAGCTGATCATTCTTTTGTCTGTAATGAAAGTCATCATGCTGTATCTATTGGAGGTTACCTGATAAACTAACCAACCTAAAATACAATATTTTTTTGTATATAATAAACATAGTGTTGCAAGACCAAAATATATGGTACGGATACGGTAAAAATTTATATACGGATAATTCTAAGCCGAAATTAACATATAAAATAGGAACACAAACGAAGCCACTGGCGGATAGCTGGTACCTATATGAATATAAGAGTTCATGTCCTGTAGAGCAATTCTGCTATAGTTAGGGTAATTATGGAATGTCAATAGCGTTTAAACGACTACCCTTCTATGGCACAATTCTTGTTACTACATCACAAAATAATTTTATATATATTTATATATGTATCTGTCACCCAGTGGCGTAACTACCGTTTGAGGCCAGTGGCAAATTCATCGGATATTCTATTTTTTTTTTAATAATTGTGTAATAATAAATATCAGGAGTAAGGAGTCCCCTCTGACCGGGGGCCCCTTCTAGTTGGGAGGCCGTGGCATTTTGCCGACTTGCCACCCTGTAGCTACGCTACTGCTGTCATCATTGATTTGCGAGGAAGACATTGAGGCTAATTATTTTTGACTTCAAATAGATATAATATAATAGAAAATATAATAAAATGCAAGTCGCTGAGATGCCATTGTAATGCAATTATTACGCAAAATTTTGCTGTATTGAGGTACAGATTCATCAATGCCGAGAGTTAACTATTGAACATTATCCCATGATCTTTGGCCAGTATAATAGGGATGACTATAGTTTTTTAATTTTATGATATTTTTTTTTGTAATCATTAAATTACGGCAATATGTCGACTCAAAATGTCACATGAAGCCACGCTTTGATACATTTTCTACAAAACTGTAACGTAGCGAGCCCCCAATACTCAACTTTAATGCCTACTATCTAATTGAAGTAAAAAAAAAGTATATAATATTTTTCTGTTATCTGACTGACGGACTAAATAGATTTTTTTTTACCCTTGTCGTCATCCCTATTATTCTATGGAACAGATTTTAGGACATTCAATTCCACCTGCTTAGAACAGTAATTGCTATAAACAAGCGATATTTTAGTACTCCAACAGTAATCACAATTCTAGAAATACTTAGCCTAATATTTTACTTATAAGGGGAATCACCTACAATATATATGTAAATGTAGAAACATAGTCAGATATAAATACGAAAAAGATAGGATTTACTTTTGTCTACTGCTGCTTGCGGTTTTCATAGTTAAGCACATTTACGTCACATATCCCGTATCACCAAAATTACGTCAGTTTACAATAGTGTCAGATATCTGTGATCTTAAACTTATATTTCATATCATTTTAAATTTCATTCAAACCCAATATAGTAAAGAAAAACACATTTTGTTTAACTAGACTGGAACTTAGAGAACAAAAAGATAATAGCAATGTTATTTCAAACGAATATAGCGTTGTAATTTCAAATTCAAAAATAACAAAAAAATGTATATTCTTCCTTCGTGGAATATATTTTGATTTTCATTATAATTTAGTTTAAGGAGTCATTTATTACGAGTACAATGCCTTTGCCGCTAATTAGGTAAAAAAGTTATACATACAATGCGTTTATGGGCTATACCATGGCGTCTTAAGTTCTATTATTTTTAAGGCAGCGCGAAGTTCGCAATATTATTAAAGGTGTTTGAAAATAAAACACGAAAAGATTATAATATCAACAATACAGAATTTATTATTATATAATATAACAAATTACATTAAGTCATCGTAATATCAAATTATATTCATCATAAATGCACGATCGGATCACGACCATAGAGAAATATCAATAGGAACCGAAAAAAGACAAAAGTACCACTTGATAGTCTTATAATAACATGATTAATCAATCGTCGACAGGGGCGGATCCAGAGACCTTAAAAATATTGTGTTCACTCACAGACACTAGAAAACGGACCAAGTGAGAGTTGGAGTATGAACACTAGCTCAAAATAGTGCATTCCAACAAAGGAAATTCTTGCCAAATCGTATGACGCCGCTATCAAGATATTGCAGTGTATAATTCCATGCGGGCAATGATCACGAAAATGTGCCGTCAAACGAGTTGTAGCCCATCGTGTCCACAACGTTGGATCTGCCCTTGATCGTCTACCGTTTATCTATCGACACAATTATCGTGTACAAACGACTACATGTCAGTTTATACAAAACTATCAAACTCCAATTGATTTAAAACCTTATTTTTTTACAGTGAAGTTCTTTTCTATCAACTTCCTGTGTTCTATGAGTCGAACATCGAACACAATAAAAAGCTAACGTTCAGTTACTCACTCTTTTGGCAAATTATTAAAAATGTGCTTTCTCTTTGGTCGCTCTTTTATCATTTGGAAATCAGCATATTTAGACAATTATACACAAATTAATTAATTATACAATTTGATAATATCAAAAAAACAAACAAAAGTAACGATTCTTAATAAAGAACTCACACTTTTTCTTAAAAAGCTTATAAAGACAAATTGTGCTCTACGCTTTAAGCAAACAAAATACTGGACAAATAAATCACATGTTACAATATAATTATTGATTAATATACATAAATTACAAGATTATATAAAGATAATAAAAACTCATATCTTTAATGCAATCGTTCTCATTTACTCAAAACACTGACCCATTTTTAGTATAAAGCTAAGAAGGCAGCTATTCATAGTGTTACCAGATCTTAAAAAATACAAAAGTTGCAACACACGAAAAACATGCATCTTTTTAGCAATTAATTGATATAATATGACAACCAAAACTCTTAAGATGCCGTAGGTATAAAACAACAAAAAAAGACGTTAAAAAATGTAGAATATTCTATAAATAACAAAATTATTGTATTTATTTATTTCAAAAAATTATAAACACTAGTATAGTGTTGTGCATTAAAAATTATCATAAAAACTTTAAAAGTGTTGATATCATGTAACATTAAAAAAAACAATCAAAAACAAATGTATATAATCCGTTTGCATATCTGTGCCGGTGTCACGTCACAGTTGTTTCTTAGAAGGCACCTGAAATAGGAAATCAATCGAATTATATTTATACACACAGCAGCACATAAAGTTTCTACAAAAAGCAAATTTACTGCTATCCATTTAAAAACTAACTCCAAGTCTTTTTGTAAGGTAATAAAGGCTGAACATCGCTTGGAGTTATACCTCTTGTAGTTACTTGACGTACTGTCTACTGTAGACAAAGTATATAACTAATGATGTGCCAGATAAACTACCCGCGTTTATTCCAGAAAGAAGTAAAAAGTATAGTCTAGAATATCGTTGCAATAATGTGCAAGAATTTGCTAATGCATTATATTTGACAACGTTAAAGTACTAAGGGTATACATGACTCAGTACCCAGTACCGAGGTCAGTTCCTGGAACCCCACGGGGGGGTGGCGAGGCAATGTAAAGTAATAAAAATCGAAACACATATTCAAATTTTTGTAATAGTTTCAATGAGCAAAAACTTATTCTTAATATGAAAAAGCAAATCGCCCTTTTTAGTGCAGTCATTGGACGCTAAATCTGGAGCATTGAGTCAGTGACAATTATTAAATACTCGGATTTAAATGAATTAAAGGAAATAACATATTCAGCAATCGCTAGTTCCAGCACCTGACCTTCACACAGAGTACAGACCATGCGATGTATACCCTTCGTACTTCAACATACTGAAATATTTAGCTTTAGAAAGCTCTTGCATATTTTTGTCTCGATCTCTCCGTCTACCACGTTATTACTTTTTCCGGCTCTTGCATAGGTTTTAAATGTTCTCGTTGCCTGTTTCAAGTTCACCAAAGAAATTTATATACGTACATATCGATGTATCGAAAACGAATAGAAAACCTATAATGGACGTAAAAATATAATAACCATCACTTTTTAACGTCAAAATCGAAAAGAAGGAGGTTCTATGTTCAACAATTATATTTTTATTACAATGTAACGGTTGGATACTTATTTAGATATTTTTATCAGTAAAATTACTAAAATTACCCTGCTGATCTTATAAATTATACCATAGAACTTGTGTTGAACTTTTATTATAGGAAATCAGATATACTATGTATCCGATTTCTATCACCGATTCGAATCAGATACACTATGTATCTGATTTCTAAGAAGGCAAATAAAGAGTACGGACTTATAAAAAAGAGAGAATTATTTATATTAACATTTTTAGGCCTACTTTTTTGGTTACTATATTATGTGTACGTTGTATATGCGTGACTGGCATTTATATCATAAATATAGTGTGAAAAACGAGTATTTTAGCGTCCTCTATAAGTGTTATAGGTTATAGAGGACGCCTACATGATATAGAGTTCTATACTCAATTTTAGAGTACAGTTAATAACCCTACATAAAATTTTTAAGAAAGTAACACAAACAATATCTGTGGTATCAAATAAATAGGTAGCCTAGACAAGAATGGGAATCGAACCCGAGTATAACCATGGGCGTTTACTATCAATAATTGAGTAAAATTTCTTGTTTAATGTAAATATTTATGTACATAACGCAAGACATAAGCTTAGCACAAAGTGACAAATGTCTGAAATAGACTTTTTATTAATTTACTTAATTGTCAAAATTTAAGGATCAAAATAAGTTGAACAAATTTGTCAATTTAACATAAACAAACATATTTATTTACTAAGCATCGCTACGCAGTTTTGTGACCGTTCCCTTGGGAATATAAAAATAAAAACGAATATAAATACTATACCTACATGATATTACCGCTGTCGAAACTACCCAAGCGATCAGTAGAAGCCTGCATAAAAAAAGAAAGAAAATTCGTACAATTGCCAATAATGTTACCAATACACAAAAAATACATAAAAGGTCCCTATAATACCAAATTACTATACTAAATACGGCCAATTAAAAAGTAAAAAAAATACCCAACACCTTTAGTTAGAAAAGCTAAGCACATAATAAACTAGCTATATTTTTGTTAATTTTGTTAGTACGTACTTAATATTTAATTAGAAATAAAAAATATATCCATTATATGCATTATTTATTTTATTATGGCACACCAAATAAAAACACAGAAATAAAATACTTTTCTATTTATAAATATATAAATTAAATCAATTAGTTTATACAAAATATTTCCATTTTTTTTATTTTTCTTTTATATCCTGATTTTTTCTTTAATAGCGATTGTTCTCACGTATTTTTCATTATATTTTAAATAGTTAGTTGTTTTAAAATTTATACATATTTCCAATTTGCACAGTTTTATTAGTTAAAGAAAAATCCGGTGCACTAGTTATGTCATTAATTTGTAAATATTCTATTTTAATAATAACAATATAAAGTTTTTCTAGAGATAATATTTAAGAGCTGTCTACCAGGTTATCCAAAAGCAATCTATTTAGTACATAACTTGTTATATGTTAAGTTTAATATCAACGGCGGAGACGTATTGTAGTATGATATGAAAAATAAATCAATGGAATACAAGTTTACCCTTGTAATAAAGTATTTAATGCGTCAAGGTTTAAAGGAACATGTTACCGTGCTAGGAGCATCGAACAATTGACGTACACATTTCCAATTAATATAAGACTTATTAATTTTTTCTTTTAAAAAACATCTGTGAAGGTAAAAGACTGTACACACGATTGAAAAAGTGACAGATTATTAATGATACAAAAACATATTATTATAAGACTTGTATTAAAGATGATTCTTATTTTTTCAATATAAAAGATATTTTTTTTATATTACTGCCATGTTTAAATCCGTTGTGTGTATTACAAAGTGTGCATACAAACACAAATATGTATATAATATGACAATATACATAATTACTTACCTTTTATATTCAATAAAACACTCACTCACTTCCTGTACACTTTCTATTCGAGGGGTTATTAAATATTTTACAAGGACTTTATTTATATAAACCGTCGAAAAAACTTCTTTTGTATTATAATTTCAAATAGAAAGATAATTGGTGTTTTATTTTATCGTAGGACGACAAAATGTTTTTATTTTTAATTTTCAGTATTATTTATGTTAAAAAAAATAAGCTAAAATACATACAGCATGCAATTAAAAGCATGCTACTTCGATTTAATAAAAAAAAGATCATAACGCCATTTTTACTATTTCATTATTAAGTAGTAAGCGAAATCTTGTACCACTCAAATACAATGTAAAATATACATAATTACACAGAAAGATTTATGAGTACTCGTTAAACCTGAAACGTCAATGCATATATACAATGCGTTTATATATATATATATATATATATATATATATATAATAATAATTTAACAATATTATTTCTTATGGAGTATACTGGAAAATACAATATAGTATAGCAAAAAGGCCAAAAACAGTTGATCCCTTTGATACATTTTTTGTTTTTCATGATATTATCGCTGAAATATTAATAACAATTCCCATTCATTCTATTATTTATAGAAAATTATGTTTTAGATCTCACGAGTATTTTGTAACAGTCTATATGTTAGTGTGTATGTTAATAGTGGATTGAGTAATTTTTAGATAACACAAGGTCGCACATTAAAACCATTGAATTATATTCCAATATACTAATAGAGATTGCACATCTAAAGTAAGAGATCAACGTTGATATCAGAATTTCTGTTTTACAGATACCAAAACCGTCCAAATATATATTTTATTGTCATCGTTCTGGAGTACATAAAATAGTATACGAAGATTCAAACTAGTCATAACTCAAATGTGTTTTTTAAGCGTTATACAGCTCTTTATTTTCCTAGTCACCTAAAATGAATAACAACTGTTTACAATTCTCTTTCTCTCTGAAAATTATAACCGAGCCTTAGATTAATTATTGAAAATTTAACTCATTCGAATTACATAAAGGTGATATTTCAATATCGAAAAATCCTTCATATTTCTTTCGTCTACTTTATGTTCATGATAATTAAAAATATAAGAACAGAAACAATCACTATGCTAAATCTTTACCAAGGTATGAGAGACATAGTTAGGCACTCTTTTTATCTAATAAAATACTCAACTTCCGCTAGATTATAGTAGTAATAAGTTAAGTTGTTAGTATGTTAACACAGCTAACACTGACTAAAAAGCGATTATTTAAGAGGCAAAATTACATTAGGGCCAAAATCTAAAAATACAATATACATATATTCCTTTAAATTAAGACAAATCGAAATTCTGAATGCGTTATGTCGGTATAGTCTCAATAGCATGTTTCTATATGATTCCCATAATTCCAAAACTAGCCAACGTTACAAACAATGAGCTAACTTTGTTTATAAATTAGATTTGAGTCTTAATTTAAAAGAAAACTGAATTTCTCGTTTTCGGTGTTAGTGTAAGTGTTATGGGCCTTTTGATATTCAGGATGTAAAAAAACTATATTAATGTAAAACTTCATTTTATGTAACATACCCAATTCACCCATTTACTACACTTAAGTATTTATATGCAATGTTCATTAAATACTAGGAGAAAAAAACCTAGGCCGCTATTAAATACTATTTCAATGTACAAACCTATATACAAATAATTTACATAGGAGTTTATAATATGAATGACATGTTACCTTGTGGAGGTCCGCCATAACCGGGGGCTCCGTAGGCAGGGGGCGGAGCACCATACGCCCCGTAAGCTGGAGGTTCAGACTGCGGATAGAAAATAGTGATAATAATCAATGTAATGAAAAAAGTACATTAATACTATATCAATACAGACGAAAGTTATAATGTTTGTCTGCATTGAATAGGCTCCGAAACTACTGAGGGGATTTTAAAAATAGGGTATTCTTCTCGGTTTGAAATAATACTTGTGTTTATTTTAATAAAAAAGTCATAAACCAAATATTTCGGAAAAATAGACACGTTTTCTTGCCTTAACATTAAATCAAAATTTAAACTATTTCTTTATACCCGCGAAAAAGCTGTTATATTCCGATATGTATTCAAAACAGATATATAGAGTAGAAGATTAAAAGATGTCAATAAAACAAGAACAATGCCATTTAACGATCGATTACGAAATAAAAATTTAAATAAATTAAGAACAGTGCCATCTATGAATCTGATTTATAATTAATAGGCATAGCATCTTTATGAGCGATCTGACAGCTGTCGCCACAGTGACGTGACACCCAGACAAAGACGACTTGACTTTTAAGATAATCGTGCGATTTTAGGACTTGAAATCAGAATCTCTGTTTATTACGATGTAAATTTTAGTTTTTGTTTTATTTCGTGACTTATTTTTCACTACCGAAACTACCCTACTACGTCGCATGCCGATGAGATAAGCTATAATTTACGCGGACGAAGTCGCGAAGAAAAGCTAGAATTTTTTTTATATTAAATACTACCCCCATCTGTACATCAGATGATTTCGGAGGAAAACCGTATATAATTGTTTCTTATAGAATGGTAGGAGAGAGTTTTGATATTATTTCTTACGTCAAATCACAAAAGCTATTAAAGTTAAGTTACACTCTGAAAAAGAGTGTAACTCCTCGCCCAGCCATCCAGTCGGCCATCGTTCATTTTTCTTACATAGAAGCAGAACAGGGACGGTTCAGATATAAATATTCATAAGTAATATGGACGACACCAATGTTGTACAATTAAACAATTAATATTTAAGCATAAAAATAGTATACTTTTTTATTTATTGTAAATACCGAACATTTTCAATCCCTGGAAAACGCATTGTCTCTCCTGATTCGTCTTCAACACAAACAAATGACATTTCGATTGAGTTCATCAAGAATGTTAACGTTAAATGTTAACAAGACTTCGATTAGTTCAACATGCTGCAAAAAAAATGCATGCAATTTTACCCATATGGATTGCACTGACGAAACATTCTTATACAAAATTTGCTACAAGCTATTATAATCAATTTCCTTATTAAAGAACCACATAAGAACAAAATAAATTATTGTAATTTAAAATTATTTACTATGGAACGACGAAATACATAGATACAAACCACAGAACATAGAGAGAGAATAGAAGTAGTAAGTGGGCGGGGCACGCGTCGCTGGCATATGCGCTTTTACTCATATGACGCCCTTTCCTCGGTTTTATGTTTGCCAGTCGTTCGTCAATCGTCGAGTGGTGATTTTACAGATTTTTTCTATAAAAAATGCCGTTTTGTGCTATTATCACTTGCAAAAAGCAAAGCAAAGTATTCAATCTAACTAATGCAAACATTTCCTTTCACTGGTAAGTACAATTTTAATGCTAAAATATAAAAAACGTAATAATTTGACACAATGTTAAATAAAATATACATTGATTGCTCAAACCAACATCAATGTTTCTGACCCCATTACTAAACAGCAATGTAAATCATTTTGTGCACTTTTGCAAAAAATAGTGCTGTGCCTCCATTTGTCTGAAATGTACCGATAGGCTGCTGCTGCTCGGAATCGTATTGTTAATTATATGGATCGTAATCGATAACTAAAACATATTTATTTAGAGCTTTTCTTTCATCATTTCATAACAACGTTATCGATAAATATATGCCATTATTATATAAAACTAAAAAATACTGTTTACAAGGGAAAATTATAGATGAACTGATACTGAACAAATGAAATAATGAACTGTCCAGGCACTTTTTTTACGAAGATTCGGTTAATTATTTACACGCAGATAAATATTAAAAATTACTGATGTGCTATAAATATCTAAGTTACGAAGTATATCACTGTTTTATGAACAATACATAAAATTAAACGAAACTTCGTGAAAAGCTAAGAGTTGGCCTAATAGGTCTTGTTAGAAACTGGTGAAACTGGATTTCACTTATTTTGCATTACTTATATTTCAGTTTCCCTAATAACTTTACAACGGATTGCCTTGTTTACATAATTAATTTTGCCCTATCTGTTTTAGACCTAAACCTATCAAATGAATTTCAAAACAACATAATATCTATACAAAGAAAAAATTATGTTTTCAACTAACGTAATATTGTTGGTGGTGTGAATTTAATTTACAAAATTAATTTTTAGGCGTCAATTTAATTTACCTTATTATGCTGATTCATAATCGGAAACTATTATTATAGAAATCGAGTTAAGAAAGCCACTTTAAAGAACCGCCCACAGAACAGCTTTTATCAGTTTTTTGTTGCTCCATATTTGCACATAAGTTTATAGACGCATGTCTCAAACGGATGTGACTTTATATGTAGATTGACGTTTGTACGTACTTATCGCTTTTGTGTCTATCTTCAAACTTTTTTTGTCACGGCTTTCAAACTCATACTTGACCAGCAATTCCTTATTGTCCAGTCGTTGCAATTAATAATGTAGCTACTACTATTATTACAGATATAAAATTTAGAATAATAAAGTAAAACAAACATGGCAATGATCAATTTATTAGTGTAATGATCATATTAGTTATTATGAAATGAAATGAAAATATCTTTATTCAAGAAGGCTATTACAAGCACTTGGAATGGCAAGTTTATTTTTATTTCTACTTTTTTTTGTGAAGGAATCGTAATGTTTTCTTGCGTACATAATATTTTCATTGATGTATTGAGAGGCAACAGTCAAAATATTTATTTCTTTAAATATTTCTCTGAGAGATTCTCTAGACCGTAAATTATATATAGTGTGGACAGCTCTCTTTTGTAGAATAAAAATATCTTGAATGCTAGCCGCAGAACCCCATAACAATAGATTATACGTCATTCATTACACTATGAAAATAACTAAAATATACCAATCTTGCCGTTTCAACATTTGTTAAGAGTCTAATTTTCTTAACAGCAAATGCTGCAGAACTCAGTCTACTTGACAAATTATCAATATACCAAAATACCAAGGAACTTTGTCGATTCCACCATCTCAACTTTTTCACTATTTACATTTATAAGTATATTAACATGCCTCACATTAGGTAATGCAAACTTTATGTATTTCGTTTTATTCGAATAAAGCTTTAAATAATTACTATCAAACCACTGTAGAAAATTGTCGAACTGAATTACATTGAAAATTTAAAGCTCTTATTTTATCAACTAATATGTCACATCACTAATATGCACAATCGGAATGATACCAGTAAGAAAAAAATACAAATTAGGCTTAATGTAATTAATACAAAAATTCTGTTGTTTTCTTAATTTTTGTTTTTTTTTACACTTTCCCTCGCTTAATTATATTACTCCACAGACATACGATAGAGTGTATCATTAAGTTTTCTTAGTTTTTGTACTGCGTTTTTTAAAAGATATTTTAATAAATTATGTAGGGAATAGCCTTAATTTTTCAGTATTCACTTGGTTACAGCAAAATCTAATATTAATAGTTCGCACATAAAATGATGACCCCAATTTTTTTAAATGTGCATAATCTTAAAATATTTTTTTCCTTCTGGTATCCCCATATACAGCCACGTGACAGTTCAACATTCATGTTAAAGTAAATTATTTATTATCACGTTGAATTAGAGTTTGTTTTTAATCGTGCGATTTCTTAGCTTAGTATCTTTTTGGGATTTGATCTATGTTATCGCGAACCTATCGCGTGGCGGTTTTTCATGTAGTGAACAAAATGATCATTTCATCTAATCTGTATTTGTGTGCGGAGAGGCGACACTCGGTTCCCATACTAAATTAATATCATTATACTTCTAATCTCTCTCTATGTTCTGTGATACAAACTATTATCACATTTAATTATAAAAACTTATTAGCTTACATGTTTTGATATTGAAATGTTTCGTCGATGCAAACTCGCCGTTATTACAAATATATAGAATTAAATATCGATGAGAGAGGATGTACACAATCAAAATCTAACTCTAAATTAGACGCAATAAAGACTAAAATATTTGACGGTTTTGTATAACCAAAACTAATAAGGCATCTCTATTGCTTAATTTTAAGCATCAATAGTCTATCTATCGTCATTAACATATTGTTGCAATAGTAATAAATTGTTCAATTAAATAGATATATGTACATCCACTCTGTTTTTAAAACTAGTTACACGGTACGCCACAACACTCCAATCTGCCCGTAGGAATCTAAATCTAGATTTTATCTAAGAAATTGCCATTTTGTATTTGAAGGATAAAAAGAGTGTATAAGATTCTTCGGGCTAAGTCATTCACTAATTATAATTAAATATTGGTGACCAAAATTTGCACACAAATATAACAATTGTAGTTAATATATGCTACCCCGACAAAGGTAATGTAAGTAAAAAAAAAATACTACGAAACTGGACATAAAAAACGTGAAGCAGTAAAAGTAATTTTAATTTTAAAAAATTAAATCGAGTGAACTTGAGGTAATTTAGATGCCCCTCATTACAAGCCTCTCCATACCTCTCTTAGTCCGCTACTGCACGCTAAATCGTCAGAATTTTGTATCTTTTATTTTGATATCGAACATTTACTGAACAAATTTACCAGGCAGACCAATACTAATGTTACCTATCATTAATTCGAGTCGTATAGAAAAATATCAGCTTTTGATATAAGCTATTGTTCAGAAAAATTATAAAAATTTTTAAATCCATTTAACACAGATATTTCATAATTCATACTCACACAGATATCCTGAATTCATACTCACTATCCCAATAGGTGTCATGGGGTAACGACTTTGAGCATGAATATGTACAGTATAAACTGAAATTAGTCTTTTAAAATAGTTACCATTTTCCCAAAACCTTATGTTGGTTCCATGTTAATTACCAACTCATTAGGGGGTAAGTGTTTAGTAATTAATTTTTTTATAGAAAACCATTAGCATGCAGACATTAAAATATATTAAAAGGCCATTTAAAAATAGGTTTATTTCCCTAAATATCGAATATTTAATAAATTTACCGTTAAATAAATCATTACAATTAAATGAATGAATGAATGAATGAATAAATTCTTTATTGTACACCATAAATTATAGAGAAAATACAATTTATACAGTTTAGTTGTACAATCGGCGGCCTTATCGCTAAAGAGCAATTTCTGCCAGGCAACCGTAAGTTAGACTGGACTGTTACTAAATAGACGGGTAGTAGATGGTGTCTTACATTGCGAGAGAAATATACCTACATATATACATACAAATAACATATACATACCTCTACATATAAATATAATATACTATATATAATATAATATAATAAACATATATAATATAATAAACATATATAATATAATATAATACAATATACATAAAAACATTTAAAATGAAACAGTACCAAGATAAATATAACAGGATGATACGATAGCATTTCTTCCTAAAGCTATCGTATCATCCTGTTATATTAATAACTAGAATTAATATAACAGGATGATACGATATCAATAACTAATACTTACTTTTATTTATATTTTTATATCTAGTTAGAATTAATAACTAGATATAAAAATATAAATAAAAGTAAGTTACATGGTCTGAGCGGACCCTCGATGCGTCTCAGACTTTGGGATATGTGAATAGTTTTATGAGATTTTATTGAAAATCAAAACGTCTCTGCAGATCTAATGGCAATAACACCATAGTGTGTAAATCTGCAATTTCATAGATTAAATCTAATACACTCCCTCTGTGAACACGCACAAACATTTATGACATTACGGGTAGCGTTCACAAAGCCAGCTACGACAAAACAATCCGTTCGATTTTCATTAAAGTGCTATGACGTACCCGGTACGGTGCCGTGTGGTATTGGTTTACCATGTACATCTGCTGAGGTGGTGGCTGGGCACCTTCGAAACCGATAAACTGTATGTGGACATCACCATCGACTGTTATATGAGATATACGGTGGAACGGCACACGGTGGAGGAACTCGCAGAAGTGTACTCCATTTAACGCCACCTAGAGATAATAACCTCATTATTTATTGATAATGAAATAATGTTTTATAACGCAGTAGCCCGAGCGTTCGGTTTGTAAATGAAGAGTTTAAGCAACTTTCGAAAAGGACTGCCCTAAGATAGGTGAGCAAAAATATTTTATCTCGATATCCTCAGTGCTTCGTAAGGCACGTTGGTCACACCAACATTCTACAAAATACTTATACCAAAGGCTTCTAATTAGAAATATTGAATGAAACAAAAAGAGTTGTATTTATTGTCGAGAGAAATAATTACTTGAGAAAATGGCATGGCAATAGACGAGAATTGGATTGATAATATGATTCCAATCAATTAATATTAAGAACTGATAATATGATTCCAATCAATACCACCTACCCCCTCCCCCCTCCCACCACATCTGGGCCTGGTTCCAGTGGCCTAATTGTCTAATTTTAAAACCTATCACTATGAGATAGTGATGTATGTAAATGTATAACTTTTCAAGTCACGATCGTTTTTGGAACGAATGATGTAAATGTTATAGACAATTCATTTCGTTTGAAATTTCCCATAACTTTCAAAAATTTTTGTAACTATCACTTTGCTTAGGCAATTCCGATTCACGTCCATTCAATATCTTTAAATAAAAAGTAGCGATCGCATTAATTTGCTGTCACATGTCAAATAGTTGTAGCGTGAAGTTCTTGAATATCTTTCAAATGTCAAATTCAAAGTGACTGTGATAGATTTTCAAATTAGACAATTAGACCACAGTTTTATCTCTGCCCTTCTTTCTCTGTTTCTGTCACTCGCTCACTCACCTTGAACGACTGAGGCTCGCACAAAATCAATGCTTCGAACGCTTCTCCTCTCGACAGCGGCATACCTCCCGCAGTATCCTCCACACCCCAATCCATAGCGGTAAGGTGGTTGCGTACCACACACATCTCAACGAATCTAAAGTTGAGATGCATCGCTATGTCATCGCGAGGGTCGGTGTTTGGGCCACATTGCAAGTTGATAGCAAACCTGTTGGATAGTGCAACAAACCAATTATACACAGTTGCAAAAACCAAACCATAATTAACGATTAAAAGATACATAATATTTTTTTCCATCTACACCCAAATATAATGTTTAGGTTAGAAATGGAAATTACCGTATATATGACACCAGGCTTTACCTCATAAACCGGATAGCTAGCTAACAATTGAAAATTTCACAGATGATGCATTTCTGTTGCCGCTATAACAACAAACTAAAAAAAGAACAAATTAAAAACTAATAGGGAGCTCCCATACAACAGACGTCGTTTTTTTATAAACAATGGTACGGGACCCTTCGTGCGCGAGTGCGGCTTGCTTGACAGGCTTTCAATATATCATGCTGGACATATTGCTAGAGTATCTCGAATTTGTTAAGCTATTCGTGCTGAAAAGGATCATGGTTAATGGTGTGACTATTGGAGCAAGGTTCACGGTTCTAGAACCTTAAATCACAACTTTGTATTGAATAAGATATAACTTAAATAAACGTAGTGGAGAAACAAGCGGAACTGATTACAGACTGCGTCCATGATGAAGAGAAAACATTGAACTGAAAGTTGGTATCAGTGTAAAAATTATATATACCTTAGAACATTAGGTTAGTTTTTGGTTCGAAGAATGATGGATGAAAGAATAACGACACGGATACTCAACGCGAGAACTGTTTTATCTCACAATCTGTAGTCTAAATGCATAATTATAGAAATCAATGGCCATGGAAGTGGCCGCAACACCAATTTATTATACTTATTCTTGAAGCGCCTCATCGATTCTTTGTAGCCTCATAACTTGGGTTCGGATTGCACCATATAAAAAAGTTTCGTCACCGACTGACTCAATCTCTAATGATATCAAAAAAATTTAACATATGTAATTATTATATTTGATAAATTTTGCATTCACAATGCCATAATAAACATTTTTCTTAATGGATAATGCTTAAAAAATCCACTTTGTCTCTAGCACTCTGAGATGGAACTCGAATCCGTGACCTTTCGCATTCCGCTTTCCAATTAAAGGCGACTGCTCTAACCACTGAGCGACCCTTTCAAACACTTGTTACTTTTTCACTACAGAACGTATTTTTCATCAATGTGATTGCCTGAATCCACCTAAGCATTTTTCATTAAGAATATCTTAACACAACATTGAAAAAATAGGTCCTTTTTTTTAGCCTATTCTGATTTTCATCTTACTACAATCAGGGCCATTGGGATTTCCCATACCCATTGAATTTTTCTTTTGTAAATGTCTCTTATCACATTTAAATTTTAACGAAGTATATAAGTATTGTAATATTATGTTTGATGAGATTTACTATTTCATTCGTCAGCTTAACCTCGTGACGGTCTATGGGTGACATATGCATTTTAATGACGAAATGACGTCATAACTTGACCGATAGCGTTTTAACGACTCCAAGTTCAAATTCCACGTTTTATATTTTGTATACTTTGGTTCCGCAACTCTTACATGAAATAAAACACTCATTACAGCAACACTGTAATGAGTAGTAATATAGCTCACTGACTTTCGGCCGCGTGGTCCTGAATCAATCTGTATATTGATGTAAACCGTATTAAAATAGACTATTTAGCTATAAGATCTCAGCGTACAGACAACGGGAACATTTTGATATTATGTAAGTAAATCTGGAAAAACAAAGCACGAGAAAACTTACTGTAAGTACCACTCTACATACCTCTGAGCGCCAGGTGGAATGTTCCCCTGTACTCTAATCATGCGGCCAGGATACACACCGCCAGGGATCGGGTGTACACATGGTATAATCTAAAACAAAGGAAAAATAAAAATACTATTTAAGCTTTAAAACAACAATAAATTCACAGGACTTGATAGCTGTAATACGGTGGCCAGAGAGAATTTCTTATGTTGCCTACTGTGAGTATGTTAACGATGCTTATAGTGTTATTAATAAACAAGTTTTAGAGGTTGGAGTTAATTTACGCTGAGACTGCACTTAGTATTAGTATATTATTAAACAGACAGAGCAAAGGTTAACCTAATACGAGGTTCAACGTGAGTAATATTTACGCCTACAAGGTAGTAAGTTTGCTTATTCTATGTTTAATATGAATTATTCATATAAATTTGAACCAATACAAAAATTGCAATTTCAGAGTAAATTTATTCTGGCGCTAAACCTTGTTTATTAATAGCACTGTTTAGGTTTACTTTACTATAACAGAATTGGCTAGATGAACTGTACGAGCGTTGTTTGCGCCTGAATGAAAGAGATATGATTAGCCGGATAGATAGCCAGGTCATTGTAAAAACTTCTCAGGATCGGAGTATAAAATCATAAATAATAGCGAGTCCACTAGGTAAAACAGTAAAAGTCTGATGGTGAAAAAGTTTCGAAAAGTCAATCTTATATGTCTCATTAAGCCCCAGCTTCTGTATCAGGTAGATCTACTATATAGACTTTGACTACGAGTACTATAGAATCAACATGTAATTCACGAACGAAAGAATGCTTTAGATCGAATCTCACAACTACATCCCGTTGACGAAGATCTAGAGAGCAAGAAACAACAAGAAGTCTTTCATACCGGGACGAGACTCGCGCCCTCTGCTGCAGTTATTAGGAAAAATCAACAGAGACAGAAAAAGATTTAGCGCGCGAAATCTTCAGTATCAGGAGCCAAAGTTTGTACAAGTAAGTCAAAATTAGTAGGCAATAGTGGCATGCTGATAGTGATGCATTTGGCAGTTTCATTTCTCTGACCATGGAAGTAGAAGATAATAAAACGCAACAATTGTATTTGATGACGTCATCAAATACAGTATGAAATGATGCTTCGGACGCGATTCCTGTGACATAATCACACATCAACTCCTTGTGGTGGATGACAGCAAAATTAGTAACGCGTCGTCATAATAGTGCTCGTGAGAGTGTATAAAACTATAATAAAAGTACAATTATTGGTGTTTTTTTGTTAAATATAATTGTGTGTGCGTTCAATAAACGTTTTCAATTTCAATTTGCAGCATAGAAGTTAATTACTTCAATATAACTACACACAAAGAATAAATAAACAGCTTTTTCAATGTTACAATATTTAAGGACTTTCAAATTATAGATTGTTTAGTGTAAGAGTGTTATAATTTTGTTAATATTTTTATTATTTTGTATAATATCAATTGTTGTTTGTTATTGCGATAAAAATAAAATGTCATTGAGTTTGTTAAATAGTTAGGTAACAAAGCTGTTTCTGTTAATTAATTTGATTTATTGTAATTTTAAAAATGGAAGCACTTGTAAATATGTACTTGTCGCTTCAAAATCGCTTCAATTGAAAGAGGTTAAATCATGGAAATGTGTCGAGCCAAGTCGAGCAAAAAAAGTAGAAAGAACACGAAAGGGAAAGGGAAAGGGTTTCCAGAGAAAAGGGTCTGGTAAAGCCATTCGAGCCATTTTTGGACCCCTGTAACTTCTTTGTGGAGTAAACTAAAAGTCCAAATTTTCAGTGACCAAGAGGGCATCACATTACAAGGCATATTTCCATGTATTAATTTGAACGAGTACTTTAAGAATTATTGCAATTTAAAATACCTTAATTTTGCCACCAACTGGCTCATCATAAAAATTCTAAGGTACTTCTAGCAGACCCACAGGCTCCAAATTTTGAAAATTGTTATTATTTTACATACTAAGTAAGGAAAATCTGACATTATGAAATATTCGTCCGAATCGAATTCGCTTTGCTTCTCGAATAAGGGGTTCACTTCAGTGACTTCAAGTTTGGGAGGGACTTTCGGCAGGCCCTGAGCTCTAATTCAGTCCATAAAGAATAATCCAGCGAGTTGAGGTCGGGGCTGGAGGAGGGCCACTCGACCGCCGCGACGAAGGCCGGGACATTCTCCCTCAACCAAGCTTGGGTGCTGTTTGACTTATGGAATGGCGCCGAGTCTTGTTGAAAAACCCAATACTTATTGTGAAATAACGTATCAGGCAGGGGTTTGACCACGGGCTCGAAAATGTCACTCTGATAATTATTGGCTTTCACCTTGAAACCTTGTTGGCAGAAATGGAGCGGAGTGATAACTTCATACGAAACTCCCCACCACACCATCACACTAACCGGATGATGAGTGACATTACGTGTAGAAAAGCTGGGACATCCTTTCTACTTTTAGCATACACTTATACGCGTTTTATCGGTTGAGCTTTTCTTCGACAGTAAAAATTTTCTCGTCGGTGAAGAGTATCTTCCTGACATCATGTCTCCACAGCAGCAATGGAGAACGTTCGCGTCGTACGAAGACGATCGTTTAAAAAGTGAACTTTTCTACGGCTATATGTCTTTACCTTAAGATCATATTTCAGTCTTCTGTTCACTGAAACGCGCGAAATATTAGTCTGCAAAGTGAGTTTCTTCTGAGTGCAATATGAGTGCAGTACTCCCGGATGATTTGATGTTCGCAAGCGTATTCACAGAGCGTGGCCGACCACTCCTTTGGCGATCTTGCAAAGAACTTGTCTCTTTGTACCGCTGTATTGTGCAAAGTTACGGTTTACAAGAAAACTTGTCAGCTCTCTAAAAATCTGAATCGGTTTTTTTTTCCGCCTTAGATAGCGAAATGATAGTTGCATGTAATTGTTTCATTCTCTTCATCACGAGATAATATAAACAAATTAATTTGCGATACAAACAAAACTAAAAGTTAACATTCTAAATTCAAAATTGGTAAAAAAAATAACTGCATTTCATTTTATTTTATTTTTTCAGTAAAAAGTTTATCTCAAAACTTATAAACACAGGAGATAGTATAATTATATAAAAATACTTAATTAAGAGGGGCAGCACAATTGTCTTCTGCCCTGGGCTCCAGACACCCACGCTAATCCACGGTAAATGTTTCTTTTAAATAAAAATTTCAAAGTCCACATAGATGAAAAGCAAAAACGAGATTAAATAGCATTAACAATATTATTGACAAATATAATTAATTACTTGTGATAAACAATCTGAAGAAAATAACACTTATCATGTGCCCTATTAATCAGTAACATAATATTTCTTTTTAAGTCTCTTTATTCCAAAAAGTTTCAAAACATTTTAATATGGATTTGATTGCTTCTTTTGTGTATGCTCTTATTCTTTTCTCCAAAATAAAAAATATTTATTTAAAGCAATTACTGACCTCATAAGAAATAAACAAGTAATGCAACTCCAACAAATCTAAGGGTCACAAAGTTAACCTTAATTAAATCCCAATAAAATAACCTTCAAATAAAATTGAGGTGTTTTGTACTTTATATAATCCCTACAAATTAATAAAGGGCCTGGACACAATTTGATGATGAAACTGCAATCAAAAATCAGTACAGTAAAGAAATAAACACCGGTTGATGAGTACACATGTTGAGTGGTGTTGTGTTGAGATTACACATCATTTTTGTTATGTTTTAGTTGATTTTGATTCTTAAACTTACCTTTTGTTGTTGCTTGTTATGGATGACTGCTAGGTATTATGATAAATTATTTTTAACAATATTTTGGGCATCATTCATAAATATTTCATTTTTTTTTTTGTTCTTTTTGTGCTACCTATACTTTCTATTTTTATATGACGTCATATGGGTGTTATTTAGAAAAGGTTCCAGCACATTAGCAATTTTACATAACAAAATTTTGTGTTTTTGAGAATAACAAGACCCTCATGGAAAGAATTTCTGTTCTAACATTTTATTATTACAATTAGTAAGCAGATTTCCCCTTTTTCTTGGTATAATATACATAGGTAATAAACAAGAGGAAAACTCATATATTACCGAACCAATATTTACCGCCTCTTTACTACAGTACAGTACTCTTTATTGCAGTAGACCTTGAAAACTGACTACATACGATCAAACTACTTTATATTAAAGACTAAACTTATCGTATTATTTGCGAAGTAAATAATATAAGTAATCGTTACGTATTGTTCTGGTTGCCCTTGAGAATACCGAAAAGGCATTAGGCAATGATTATTTTCGTCTGTAGAATTAATATTGATAGAAATAACATTTTACATACCGGGTTGTAAATGGGTGATGCCATGTTATGGATGCAATTCTTACTTCCCAAAACTGGTGCAGTAATTCTAAGATGTCTATACAATGTTTATGACCAATTGTACTTAAAAATTACTCATAGGAAGAGGCCTTGCGCAAAATAATACAAAATCCAATTGAATTGAATTGAACAAAATGCGTCATACGTCATATGACGGGTGACAGGCAGATATGTCGAGTAATGATGTACGGAATCGATTATCATTAATCAATTTTTGAAATAAACAATTGCTATTGATTATGAATTCCTAATCGACGATTCACCATCGATTATTTCTTAAAACATTAGCAATACGAATAGTTTAAAACGTTAGTAGAATACCTACTTACATTACTTCGATAGCTCAGCATTCCATAGCGGATCGCGAGTGTAAATATTTTTTGTAGATATTCTATTACTTATTATGGTAACCTTGGTATACTCCCACGAACAAATAGGTAACTTTACTCTTTGGTCGGGGAACTCCCGATGAATGAATGAACGCACCTTACAGTTTTATTTTAACAAATACAAATTAACCGTTTCTTACTTAATGCACATGTTAGTATACACGGTACATCCCAGATAGCAATATAAACTTGTTTCTGACTTGCAACAAGTTTGATGCATTAAAAAAGAAGACTTGCTTCAAATTTGCCATGACAACTATAGCAACTTGCAGCAAGTTTAAAACTTTCTAGTTACAGTGCAATAAACTTTCACTACCTTTGACTTATCAAAGATAGTGCAAGTGTACCTAGGAAAATTATTATTACTACTACCGCACTTACCTATAATTTTCCTAGGTACTGACTCGAATACCTAGCAGGTACCCGGGTACTCGAGTATCTGAATTTAAGGTTTCGAGGCAAATATTACTTTTAAGTTTACTAAGTTTTTATTAATCTTTAGATCATTCAAAACTTTTGGTTCAAAAGCGAATGAGAGTTTAAACTCAGACCACAGCACAGAGCCTAGCCTAAGAGCCAAAGTAATTAACTGGAACGGTTGGTTTCGAAACCCATATTTAGATCACATTAAACGGTATATTATTTATACAATCTATCAATCTACAATCTATAACTGATACCGCGATGCATTAAATGAACAGCGCCATCTAGATTGCAGACTTATAACTATTCGGGTACCTATGAAGATGATGGGTGTATTACAAATAAGTATATTTGTCATAATAATATTCAAACAATATTGTCGCAAACTAGAAACTTCATATTTAACATAACAATATTGCAGCCACATTGTCACAAACTTGCCTCAAATATATGACGCAGTAATTTAGAATAAAAAAAAAAAACAAACTTGCCCCAAGTTAGCATGCTATCTGGGATACCCATACCAAAATAATATTTTTTACATTTATTGTGTCTGTTTGATACGGCTAAACTCTGAAACGCTCAGAAAAAAATTGACAGGACTTTCATGGCATATAGCTTATTATATAAGGAATGAAGAAGTATTAAAAATAAATGAAAGCATTTAAAAAGCACCTCCACTAGATGGCGACTCAGGTGCTCTTTCTAGTAAAAATCAACTTTTACTAGTAAAAGTAGATTTTTGCAGGAAATGAATGGACCAAAGACAGTCATTTCCAGTTCCTTTTAACTAACATATTAAAAAACTGAAATTTGAAAAGTTCGTAACTTAGATATCAATACAAATACAAATAGGATATGAGTTGTTTATCGAGTTTTGAAAACTAATTTAAACGTACCGTAGCGACATCTAGTTAATTTCGGGAACTAATGATTTTTTTTAATATTTCCTCATTATTAAAGCTACTTTCCACGTAAAAATATTTAATAATCATTGACATTAATCGATTGTTGTCAATTATTATCGATTACGACTAATACTATATTTGATCAATCGATGTGTATAATAATTAAATCAGCACATCATTAATGTCGAGCAAAGCTTATAATAAAACGTCATCCTACCGATTTCAAGAACGTTCTGAAACAATCGAGATCAAGGTATTGATTAGTTTTGGAACAAAATATGGCCCATACTTTGTTTTGATTAGAGTGCAAAATCTTTATAATTTAATCTTTTACATAATGATATGAGAATATTTTGAGAAACGGAAATGACTGTCTTTGGTCCATTCGGTTCCTGCTAAAAATCAACATTTGCTAGAGCCGCCATCTAGTGAGGTGTTCTTTTTTTGTAGTGCTTTGGTTTTTTTATATAGGTACTTCCTCAGTAGTAGTAGTATTATAATTCGTCCATGGGACGGGCGAAGGAACTAAGCCATACAGCCAAATCTTGGATAGGTACTTCCTCATTAAAGAGGAAGTATTTTAAGAGAACTCAATGGATTTCGTGATGGTTTCGTCTATTAAAATAGTACTCTTTGGTTTAGTCCTTCGAGTAAAAATCTCTGCATGTCTACATGAACCTTTATGTCCGAATCATAGTGGCTATCTATCGTTTTAATTTAGATGGCTAGAAATTAATTAATTTCACATTGAATCTTCAAAATTAGTAGATTCAATATATGTTTCAATTTGCCTCCTCTCGACACAATACATTGAGTAATTGATTAGGTGAAATATAAGTTTAAAGTACTATTCGGAACAAAACCAAATTTTCTTAGGTTGGCATTAATGTTATTTTGACGCAGTATGTACTTTTAGATAATGAATTTTCTGCCTTTTTCATTATTTCATAATGCGAAATTAAACTAAATAATTCTCGCTGTGAACTTGATATAGTGTATTTTCGCCGTTAGACGACAATATCAAGATTAACAATTAGTTATCGCGTGCGTTTATTTTATCCACAATGACGATCGAAGGAAATAAAGATGAAGCTGCTAAATGCATAGAGATAGCACAAAATGCATTTTCCGCAGGTAACATAGAGAAAGCGGAGAAATTTTTATTGAAAGCAGAAAGACTGTATCCTACTACTCGCGCAAAAGAGCTTTTGGCGAGGGTAAGAGCGTCGCCGTCATCTGGAAATGCCTCTAAACGGACTCCTCCAAGTAGCCCTGGTGTAGAAGAAGTTAGAAGGAGAAAACCGCCTGCCCATCAACCTCCCCAGCGGGAATATACCTCGGAACAGCTAGACGCAGTTAAAAGGATCAATACGAAATGCAAGGACTATTATGAAATCTTAGGTGAGTGACACAACTAATTAAATTGAGTTATGCATGACGTGTTGTGGCCTTGGTGGTCAATGTTATTTACCTATAACAATAACTTATTCATGTGAAAAATCGACTTTTGAATTGACAATGTAATTTTTAAACACTGAAATTGTCTTTAGTTGAAAATATATTATTAACTTATAGAATCTATTCAAATTGATATAACTAGATTCAATTGTTACAATAAATAAATATGAACATTAAATATTAAGAACCAACTTTAACAAAACGTATATAAATTAAAACACAAATTAATTGAATTGATCATTAAGTAATTATACAAATTATTATTAATTAAAGTTGCTGTTATAAATGCAATAGAATTACACCAATCTTACATTTCAATAGACCAATGAATAGTCTGATATCCTCCCTACACACACACACACATTGGTTGTGCTGAGGCCTCCACAGACTTTTATAACATTTTTATACCCATTTTATAAATATAGTCTAGATACAGCTTAAAAGAGTATTTTAAATTCAAAGGACCTGAGAGTCATATTGCTGTAACCAAATTTCATCATTTTACATTTCAGTTCATTAAAGCTTAAGTTTTTTATAAATACTGTATGTAGGCTTATAAACCTATTTCATTATAATTGTCTGTTGATATTTTAAGACATTGCTTGATTGTCTTTTAGGAGTGACTAAAGAGGCCACGGATTCAGACATCAAAAAAGCATACAAAAAGCTTGCATTACAACTCCATCCAGATAAGAACCATGCACCGGGATCAGCTGAAGCATTCAAGGTATGATCAGAGGGTATCAAAACCACATGAAAATTGTACCTGTTTTTGCTGCATGTATGTATGATTGGGACTATCCTACAACAGCTCAATTAGGTATGCTTTCACCACCTTCCCCTTCTTAGGGGTATCTATAGACATTTTCCAGCGGAGTCCTGGCCTCCAGCTAGAAGTGGTGTGAGGTACTGAAAATTCTGAGGTAGCTACTGGGCTATTCTGAAATAGGAGGCACCCCCCTTCCTATAACCATTTTCGCATTGGTTTGACCTTGTGGTATCTTACCTGGTAGTCGACTCTGTGATATTCAGATGTCAATTAACTTTTGCACACAAAATCAATTAAATAATATTTATATCAAGCTCAAATATATACTCTGAGACCAGATGGTAGGTTATGGCATCTTGTCACAAGTAATCTATAATATATAAAGCTTAATTCTATTATAAGGATCCCCAACTTTAGGGTCAACATTATTTATATTACTGGAACTGTGCTATTCTGAAATAGGAGGCACCCCCCCTTCCTACAACCATTTTCGCATTGGTTTGACCTTGTGGTATCTTACCTGGTAGTCGACTCTGTGATATTCAGATGTCAATTAACTTTTGCACACAAAATCAATTAAATAATATTTATATCAAGCTCAAATATATACTCTGAGACCAGATGGTAGGTTATGGCATCTTGTCACAAGTAATCTATAATATATAAAGCTTAATTCTATTATAAGGATCCCCAACTTTAGGGTCAACATTATTTATATTACTGGATAACTCTTATGTAAATATAAGATTATTATGCCTGTCAAATTGAAATCCTGTCATTAATTGCAAAATTGCTTAAGCCTAAATACATTATAAAAAAATATATTTTAAAATGTTTGAAAGGAAAAATAACCCAGTAAGCAAAGTCAATCTGAATAAAACAGTAATTTTAAGCATTTTTCTGAGATAAAATATAATATGGTCAGGCAATCGGAAACGCGGCCGCCATTCTGACGGACCCGGAGAAAAGGAAGCAGTACGACCTACGCGGCGAAGAGGTAACACACACCCACCAGCAGCAGTACTACGCTCGTGGGTTCGAGTCCGACCTGACTGCCGAGGAGTTGTTCAACATGTTCTTTGGAGCTACCGGTCAATATTACGGTGTCTATATTGATTTTTTTTTAAGCTTGGGGTTTCGTTGTACACCTTGGTATCCTGCTTGAAGGACCATTTAATTTCATTTTATATTTGTAAATCACTATTTGATCTCATACTTTTCCCTTTATTTATATATTATTAAGCTTATTGCATAAATGGATAATTAAAATTATAATTTGGAAAAAAGTGAAAAAAATTCCATAAATGGTCCTTCTATATGCAGTTTTAGGCCTTTATGTGTGCATGTTTATTTAGTTACATAATAATGTTCATTAATTTACGTCACACAGGTAAGCCTTATTTTCTTTGCTTTCTATTATTTTTGTAGAATCTTTTTTCCATACTTACTGAAGAACTTTAAAGATTTTGGCAACCTAATCTACTCATTCCTATTCTTTTCAATTTTAAATATCGGCGGTTCACGTCTTATAGGAATGAATTGTTGAAATCTATAGATACCTCAATTATTATTTACAAAATTAAGCAAGTACTATCACAATAAGATTATCTACCAATCCAGCTAAACTTTTTGACAGTAACTTAAAGTCCACTGCAGGGGCTGAGGACTTCCTAACAGATAGTTAAGGAGGATATTTATGGTAAATAAATAAAAAACTAAAAATATTTGTTTTTGTAATTCTTTTTGTTAATTATAAATGGGTGTTATTTAACGGGTTAGCATAGTATTCACATTTTTGCTAGCAGAAAAATGTATTCTGTCAGTTGAAATATATGATTGGTCAGCAGACCATGGCTAGCAAACAATATCAAAGCAATCGACAATTTTTTACATTCTGGACGGCTGTAATTATTTTTTATTAGTATAATAATCATATAAGCTGCAATGAGTGACGCATGTTAAATACAATTTTGAACAGCACTTAGAGGGAAGCAACTAATCTAATTTTGTGAAGCATATAAAAATAGCAATAATGACTGGCGCAAAATGGGCGCGTTCCTTACAAAAATAATGAATGGGTATTTAAGAGTAAACTAACTAATTAAATTAACTGCCTCCATGTCCTAGTGGTAAGAGCGTTAGGCTCTCGATCCGAAGGTACTGGGTTCGATTCCCGGTGGCGACACTCTCAAATATTTCTTTGTGAGTTTTTCCCAGTTTGGTTAGGACATTGCAGGCCTGAATCACCTGATTGTCCGAAAGTAAGATGATTCCGTGCTTCGGAGGGCACGTTAAGCCGTCGGTCCCGGCTGCTACCTACAGTACTCATATAACACTCGCAAAATATCAAAATTCACACTAATTAACATAAAACAAGTTGTTATCACTGTAATTTGACAGCTACTAATCGCCGCATAGACACCGAATGACAATACACGCACGCGATTGGCTACTAGTATCTTGCGACTACTCTTGCTCTGCCCACTTTTAACGTACATTGCAGACTTTTCAATAAAAATGCAAACCAATTAGTTATTCTTCTAACCATGCTTTAAATACGCAAACCGATCAAATTAACTGCTAACCGGACAAATATTTCTTGCTGACCAATCCTGAATCTTTCTGATCAAGTAGTTATTTTGGGGATAGACTGTTTATTTGACATACACATATTATTTAATTGCGAAACAAGGATTGCCGATTGTTTTATTTTTCTTGCATACAAAATCTTTAAATGCTGATCAAACGATTAAAATACTGATTTTTGTGGCTAACCAAATTTTTTTATGGCTGACCTTTTAATTACTTCTCATTATAAATTTTGCGAACTGCTATTTTGAAATACTTTGAATCTCATCACTTCGGCCCGCTCGCTCGAACGGCATACGAATACCAAAGCCTCAGTTACAATTTACTTGCACTGCTTGACATGCCGTCAAGACGGGTAAATACTAGTTGCGTACATTCGTTCGACACATGGCAATAGGGCTACCATAATCTCCCAATATTAAATATATGAAACATGTTCCCTGTGAAGTGGTCTATGTGTAACCGACACTGTAACTGTTCGAGTGACTTATAAAAATGATTAGAAAATTTTGGTTAATGCAAAACGATTGACTCTTTACTTATTATCTAAAATTGTAAATAAATAATTATCAGGCAACATTACATATATGTCTCAGATCCCAAATTAAGTATCTGATGTACCCAAGACAATATTAGAATAATTCTACAACGACCCATCAAGAATCGTACTAGGTACTTCAAAGTAGGCGACACCTTGAAATCGGATTCCGATCCATTTTGCCACGACATGTATTTTTGTCCCATTAAAAATCGGAATGGACAGATTCATAATATTTCTTTATTTACAGCAAATACAGAAAGACAAGACTTCAGATATCGGAATACAGACTCGAGACAAACTCAGGCACAAACGGATTTACCTCATATATTAATAGAATGTTTGATTAACTTCTTAACATTAAATTATTCGAGCGCATTACACACACTGATGCTTATATTTATGAGTCCTAGAAGCTTAATAAGCATTTTAGCGGCTTTAATTAAAATATTTATTATTATATTACAAGCTATATTTGTTCTACAAAGGTTTTTCTTGAGAAGACTGATTAGTCGTACTTTTTAATTCTTTTTTTTTTGTTGTATCCAGAGCCATAATTAGGGTGACAACGGGGACATATAACAAAAACCCCTCTTTAATCTATAAATAATGTTGAAAGGATAGGTTATTGATTTAATTTTTTTCTTACTGAAAAATATACTTTTTTTTTGTAAACAACACAAAAAATCTCATTATTTTTACTATGATTAGCACATAATATTATATGATGCCGAAATTAGCATGTGCCCTTTTATTTTGGTGTTATAGTTAGTAAGCATCTAAGGGCCGACACTCCTCTAGCGTAGCGAAGTGCAGAGCATTTTCACTAACAAAGTTTTATCGTTGTTAAGTTGAAATAAGACCGAATACCGTCCGATATATAGTATATACGTTACGATGCTCTAAGCCTTTTTTGTTTATTTATTTTCTATCTTATCTCAACGTACGTAAACATTTACTCTTTGGCATTGAAAATGCTTGCATTCCACTTCGCCAATTATGTTTCGGGTCTAAAATTAATGAGTCTATTTATTGTATTAATTTGAATTATAATAACTTTTTTATTTTAAAAACTATTTTGCATTTATGTAGGGCATTTTGTAGTAGATAAAGATGTAAGCATTTTGACTTGAACAAATAGAATACGTGTACGAGCAATTTGTAACTGACCCAAATCTCACTTATGTTAGTTCATGTAACGGTGCGAGTGACTTCAAGCTATCCAATTGTAAAAAATATATAGTGTTGAGAAAAATACCTATAAAATTGAAATCGGATTGTATGATGTCCACAAGAGTCAAAATTTTCTTTAGCATATATAATGCATATTTACTTCAAGATGGCGTCCTAAAGCTTTAGTATTCGTATCAAAAACTTCTGCCCCGTCAGATGAAAACGCAGTTTCTTTTCGATTCCTGGTAAATTTCGTCAACACTGTATAAGTAAATTTATCTTGGAAAATATATTTAAAAATAAACAACTGTCTGGTAGTAAACTTCTATTTATATATTCTTATACCTTCACACCGGATCCTTTGCTGAGGGTAGGCAGAAAGATTTGAATGCCCTGTTTTTACAAAAGTCTCGTTTCCTCTCACGTTTACTACTCTTTTCATACAAGCTCGTTCTTATGACTTATGATATCTTCCTCCTTTAACACGCGAACCTATATGTAACCCAGAGCGATCTCCTATTGTATGTAAGCAATAGAGTTACGATGTAGACTCGTAGATTACTCACCAGATATTTTTATAGTATTTTTCTAAGATAAATATAAAGAAGGAAACAAATCTCTTAAAATCAAGTTTGCATAAATTACGCTTTTTGAAAAAAAAAAACATTTAAACAGAGATTTTTATATGGTCTGAGACTTAATGGCGGTGAAATTGTTGGATTGTTTCCATTTTAGCATTTAAGTAAAATTTTGTAATTTATCAATGTTATCAATAAATTAAATTGCAATGTAACTTTTGTTTTAATTTTTGATTTATCCTTTTTTATTTTTTTTTTTAAAGTAAACACCGCCATTGGTTCTCTTCCAAATAAAATTAACATCAGGGGTTGACATCAGGGCCGTCTTAGACTATGCTGGGGCCCTTGGGCACACAAGAATTCGTGGCCCTTTTGGAATGTAAAGAGAGCGAATAGGACTATACATTTTTTTTTTTTAAAACTATGATCTGCTTTATTAATAAATTATAATAATACGGTTTGTTGTGTTGTACATCATCCGGGGATTCCCCCAACTATAGACAAAGTCGACATTTAATTATGGCACCATGACTTTGGCATCGGAGTGATTTGCATAGATGATCGCTAGATGGTGTGCTTAGTAAATTAGATACGTTTAGAAATACTATTATATTTTGCAAACATTTAAACTACAGAATAAAAAATCAAATTAGTAACTTGAAAATAGACGTTAAGATTATAAGCTTTAATGGTAAGTTATAAAGGTGTTCGAATCACTCAAATTATTCATATAAATGTATTGATTTAAATAAATCTGAAAATTGTCGACGATCGTACAACGAGAAAAGTGTAATGCGCCCGAATATAATATTTTGATGCTAAATGTGAGAGAAATTGTCGGTCCTTCGGGGCCCTCTGAGAATGGGGGCCCTGGCTACTGGCCCCTAGTGCCCTTATGGTAAAGACGGCATTGGTTGACAAAGGCTGTAATTTACGCGTGCGAAGTCGACGGACGTACGAAACGGCTAGTTTGAAAGGAAACCTTTCAGATTCTTTGAAATCTTGCGTTTTACAAATTGATGCTTTTTAGCTCTTCCGTCTCGTAAGGCTGTCCCCCCCTTGCAGTGAGTAATTATCACTCACTGGCTGGCCTGTTGTCTAACAACAAAACGGGGTAGGAACAATTACAGTATTTAAGCATAAAACTGCTTAGATTTATATACTTGATACCAACAATGACTTAGACAATGAAAATAATTATTCTAATATCATTTTTGGAAATAAACTATTACATAACATTGTTTTCCGAATAATAAGCGAGAATCATAAAAAACCTTTACCCGGTTTGTCGATTGAGAATTTAAAGTTAAGAACGTATCAAACTGTATTTTAATGTCATTTAAACAATTTTCGTTTCTGGTTTTAGTTTTTTTAATGATCAGTTGATAGCAATTCGATAAAACTAGAACTTTTTATTTGTGATAAGTAAAAAGTTATTGAGTATAACGTGATTTTGTACTTTTCTCAATTCAGAAACCGACTGTAAATCTTAATTTCATTAAAATGCAAAATTTTCAACTATAAACAACGTTTTGCCATCCGACGGTAGGGGTATCCTTTTGTACCGGGCGAGACACACTGCGAGTGTCCTGACTGCCTTATAACATCACTGAGATAGTTTTATCTGTGAAAGCTCTTATCGCTGCAACAATTAGTGATTTGAGAGAAACGGCCCTCTAGTGTAAATAGTAACCGATGAACAATCAGCATTGTTTCTTTCAGTGATAAGAGATATTCGTCTCACAATTCACATAATGTACATGTCATTGACAATGTGATTAATCGGGCATTATAAAAAAAATACCCATCACCAATGGGGCAGAACAATTGTAACGAGGATTAGGTCATCAAGTTATAATCGCTTTCGGATGTTCAAGAAACACAATAAAAACTTTGTAACTTACTGTAATACTTGCATCTATCGCTTACCTTCGTCATCTCCTCCGTGCCTCGGTATCCTCAGTGCTGAGGGTCGTGACCTCCTCCACGAATCACCTTGCTTCGGATTATGGTCTTCCAGTTTATAGGATTTGGATGGACAATGTTTTGCAACTTGGTCTGTCCATCACGTTGGGCTGCGGCCATTAGCCCTGTTCCGTCCACAGAGCCAGTCACCATAAATTGTTCCAAATTATCCCCAGTCCTCCTGGCAATGTGACCGAAGAATTCTAAGATTCTCCGAAGACACATAATCTAGTGGTTAATTTGATATCTTTCAAAATTGAAGTTTTGGTCCGTGCTCCGTCCAACACACCCCAAACATTTTCCGCCAACACCACGTCTCGAACGTATTGATGCGCTTTCTATCTGCTGACTTGATCGTCCTGGTCTCAGAGGCATACATAAATATGAAGAAGACGAGAGTAGGCACTGTTGTATTTTGGTTTTGCTCCAAACTTTCTGCAGTTGTAACATAGCTGATTTTGTCATAGCGATGCGTCTTCGAATTTCTGATTCTGAAGAACCAGTGTTGGAAATATTTGACCCCAGGAACGTGAAATTTTTAACTACCTCGTTTAGTTACCATGTTAGTTGGAGTTTCTGAGCCCTATTTACCACCATGATCTTTCTCTTTGATCAATATATACGAAGGGCCTTGGTTTCGCTGATAGCTTCCATTTTGTCCAAAATCGTGGCCATATCGGTTTCATTTGCTGTTAAGGCTCAAAGTCAAAGAAATTAATTCGCACGCATTGTGAAAACAATAGCAGAAATTAATTCTATGACATAAAAAGAAAAAGTCTGTCCGTGGTAAGTTTGTTGCCGGTTTTTCTAGGTACAAGGTCACCCTCCGTAAATTATGAACTGATGACATACTTTCGAAATTCACAAGTGCTTGTATATAGCCTAGATTGAATAAATGATTTTGATTTGACATACTTTGTTTAGATCCCGTCCAGTTATTATTGTATAATACCGGTTAACCCGTATGGGTTACATACGATTATAGGTCGCGGTTGATCCGGTGCAGTTGGCATAGAAGACCGTATTCTTTGTTTCCTTGTTTGATCTGTTCATAGCATGTTCATGTTATGACTCAGTGTAACGGGAAAGTCCTATATTGAAAATTTATAATGGGTACGCGCCACTACAAAATGGAGGATAATTGTAGCTTTATAAGCACCTCAATATGGATATCAAATAAAAGAGCTTAAGCTCGCTGAGATAGGGTCCATGTTGACCACTCTGTGACTACATGAAAATGTTGTATTTTTTTTATTTATATTTTTTTTTATTTCCTTCTTCTCTTATACATTATCATTGTATCTGTTCATGTAAGTGTGGTCAATAAACTTTCTTTCTTTCTTTCTCTCTTCTTCTTCTATTCAAAACAAATTATTTGTTTCTTTGCATGGTAATGGTAGGGCGCAGTGTAAAAATGAGTCTTTATTTTACATTCATGATGGCTGTCGCTACAAAAATTGGAGGGTAGTTTGAATATGATAACCACCTTAATATAAATATCAAATAATGGAGCTTGACTATACGAATAAAAAGTTTATTTACTTATTTCAATATTGGTTCGTCTCCTTTCAGTCAATAAAGACTATTTGCAAATTTCTATCTGGCCATAAACCAATCTCTTTGTCTATTATTCAGTTTATAAATGTAGATGTAAAAAAGAGTGGCTCTATCTATCTATAATAAATTACCAATTATTCTAGGGACCACCAGTGGTCCACGGAACGTCATTTTAGAACTACTGTTATAGATCAATATTTATTTATATATGTTTTATTTATTCGTTAGCGTTCCCAGGCGGTGGGCCTACTGTGTACACCAGGAGACGACGGACAGAGCCTGAACCACGTGAGGCTCACGCGGGTCTGGTCCAACTGCTGCCCGTATTGGTCCTAGTCCTATTGTCTATGATGTCGGGCTTCTTCATCAGCGAACCTGTGTTCAGTCTAGCGCCCAACTCTAAATATCCTGTGCCCAGGGAGACTGTGAATTTGAAGGTATGTTCAGTCGATAGCGCAATCGTTTAAACGACATTAGCAATAGTCGGTTACGGGATCAGAAGCTAAAAATTACTATCTCGAGCTACTCTGTGCTTCGGAAGGCACGTAAAGCCGTTGGTCCCAGCTGCATTTGCAGTCGTTAATACCCTTAAATTGGGATTGGGCTAGTGTGGAGGGTCATAGCCCATCCTCTTTGGCCATCCATAAGGAAGGCCCGAGCCCCTGTAGTGGGGACGTAAAAGGGCTGATTGGCACTAGTATGCCATCGACTTTAACAAGAAGTCTTCTGTGCAGATGATTTCGGTAGATGTTACTTATAAAGGCACAAACGTAACAACAACGATAGCGGGCCGCGGCGCTTATCCATTACGCCACCGACCCACTAGTACCAATAACCTTGGAATATAAACTTAAATGCACTGCGGTACGGTTTTAGATGGACAAAAAATTTTGGACTATCGCTACGTGTCGAACTTGGCGCACATCAACCAATATCAAACGCATGGCACACAAACGTGGAAATGTTTCGATTCATTGTCACCATCAACAGCTGTATGACGCCCACTGCTGAGCATAAATCTTCACAACGATGTGTCTTGCGCTGCCCGCATCCACGTTTGGATTGGCTTTACTTCATTCAAGCCTTTTAAGAATTAAACTTCTACTCATATACATAACAGCTGATATACTATATATCAAATTTCTCAATTTGATTGTAAACCTTAATTGAATGTTAGCAGAGTTCAAAATCAATTGCGGGAATTTGAAAGGTCGTGGTAGCATGACATGTGCAGTTGTAATCCTATTAATATTATAAATGTCTAAGTTTCTTTGTTTGGATATTTGGATGTTTGTTCGTCAGTCACGCTGAAACTACTGAACGGATTTTGATGAAATTTGGTATACAGATAGGGTATTAGCTGACTTAGATAATAGGATACTTTTTATCCCACTAAACATTTCCCTAGGGTCCACGCGGGCGAAACCGCTGGCGAAAGCTAGTAAATCATAAACATAAAATGAAATAATATGCAAAATTATTATGATACTGAAATCTTTCATATACATTTACCGATACTTTTTGCCACAGGTTCCGTATTACGTGAAGGAGAATTTCCACACAGACTATCAGGGTTCCCTGCGACGACTTGAGATGTCCATAGAGGAGGAATATATAGGTATGAAATTTTACATACGTTAAAACACTGAAAAGTTATCTCATGCGTGATCCTCATTTTGCTTGTCAATAAGACTGTTTTTGGCCAGTCTATAGACAACGTTATTTATTTTTTTTCTGACTACTTAACCAATCACGACAACAAATGCTGCATGCAATGTAGCCGTGATTTATTCCATGTTTTTCTATCGTTTCTTGTTTTCATTTTCGTTGTATCCTTTGTAGAATTGAATTTTTTTTTATGTAAATTATTATTTTTTATGTAAAATTGTAAATTAAAAAAATGTAAATATTTTATTAATGCAAACGCAGCGTAATATTTGTTGATCATAATTATTGTTATATTCCCAATAGTGGGTCTACGGCATGCGTGTCAACGCGAGCGAAACTATCGCGATAGTATGGCGTGGAAGGCGCGCAACTTTGGCGATTCGCGACAATACGCCGAGGCGCAGAAATTGCGCACGCCCAGCTGTGACAAGCTTCAATCACTTCACCGATAGATGGAATCGTTTCAACGCTTAGTTACTTACATCCTCATCCGTTAGATGGCGCCGATTTTAAGTTTTTTGATGCGAAGCAATAATATATCAAACTACTCAATTGCTTTCCTGGAAATCGTATTAGCGTTTAAGATCGAATGGCAATGGTTTATATACATAAATAAAGGTATTTTGTAGAATTAAATTAAACCAAAACTATTAACCACATAAGCTGCATCTGATAGACGCAGAGGAGGGATCTTAATACGGCTAGAGTCCGGAGATCTTGCAGAATCCCCGAACTCTTCCCCTCCCCCCGCACTCCTAGTGAGTGACGTTTGAGAAAAATTACATCCGACAACACGTGAGGTGTAGCTCAACCGATATTAAATGTGTAATATAGCGCCCTGAGATTCAAAATGATTCGATTCAAAATTTTGTTAACTTCTAAAGTAAATAAAATTAGTATGTAAAGGAAATGAACATGTTTTTTGAATTTCTAACTGTATAAATATAAAAAGATAAAATTAAACTAGCATAATTAAATATAAACACCATCCATTGGCGTTGGGAAAATATAATATTATTCCATTTTAAGAGATAATATTACAGCGGCATAGGTTGAATACAATAGATAGATTAAATATTATTCGACATTTGACTGTTTCCTAATATGCTCACACCCACAAACATCCATTAAAATTGTTATTAATTTAAAGCGACAGTACCGATACAAATTCTCTAGAACATTCATTAGAGCTTAAAGTCGTTATTGAACCTTAATGGACTGTGCGACTTGGTCTTTGACTCTTAATCAGTTCAAAAGCTTTTTGTGTGTGCCGAAATCTAAAAAAGGTGTGTTCTACTCAAAACTAGTGGATTTATATCGATAATATTCTTTCACCGTAGACTTATATCATGGAGTTACGTAGGCTATATTTTTTATTGCAAAGTTCACTTCTCTTTGTCAATCTTCCCTTGAAATGATAAAATAAAACGATGCCTACTTATGTGAAACATTTATGTTTCACTCTATGAATCGACTTTGTTTTTATTTCACTTCCTACCCGCCTCTAGCATGACGAACACCAGAAACACTCGAGAGACTTGAGTGAGGTGTCACCATACAATTTCTCGACATCGCTCTCTCCCGAATCTCTCGAGTTCGTCATAATACGCGGGCTGGGGCTGCTCTATCGCCTATTTTTCATCAAAACGTCATCGCGGCGTTTGGTACTGTTTATGACAGCTTTATTTCATCGCATGTACTGTAAAGTTCCGAATACTTCGAAATGAATGACAATGTAGGGTTTGACAGTTGGATCGAATCCTTTACCTGCTTTATCGACTTCGCTTTTAGATAGGCGATGGGGTCAGCAACGTTGGTACTGATGTTTTGAACATGAAAATGCGTGTTCTCGTTTAACCCTACAGTAAGATACAACTAATTTGGCTCACCGATGCACACACGGCAGGATACCACAATACGTTAAAATTCCCCAATTGCATTTCAACTCTACTTTCAATGAATTAAGTTTTAAAGTCAATTGAGGAAATTGGACGGTTGCGTATTACTTGACATGCTATCGAGTACCTGCGCAAAGAATCATGTCCAATTGTAACCTAAAAATTTACTAACGCATCTAGTGATGTTGATATATCTCAAAATGTAGCTTAGCTCAAAATATTATTTATTTCATATCGGGAAATTAAATCTTAAAATAAAGTCACGAAAAATTTGCGAGGCTGATAATTATTTTTAAATAGTACACTGATAATAACTACCCGAATGCAATTGAAACCCAATGATGGTTTGTTACGATTTGTTTCATGTACTACGGAAAAATATTCTTTCGTGTTGATTTATTTCCATATTTACGAGTAAAACTATAAAAATAGTTTTATTTTAATGCACTAATTCTGAGTTTTATAACCAAACTTAGTTTTGTAACAGCTATTATAACCTCAAAACATTATTTACAAATTACGAATCTCCCTGGTCTCCAAATGAAAAGATGATATTTTTCTATTTTAAGCAAAAACTAGTTTAAATTATGTTTAATGGTGAGTAGACGCGACCTTAAGAAAAACATGTGACAGGTAAATGAATTTAAGGAAAGCGGACATGATTTCTTTGAAGCACGGCAAATGTCGGCCAAATATAATAGAAAGAAATTGGTTATTCAAAATTGTTTGGTGAAATGTATGTATGTAATCCATCAAAGGATAAGGGGAAGTATGCGAATGAGGACACGCAATGCGTTGTGTTTTACATCTTAGACTAGTCATCATTTTTAATCATACCGTCTAGGCAAAGATGCGCCTTATTAATTGGATCTTACTGTAAATTATTATACAACGTACACATCATAATAGGAGTACGCACTTCAAATTTGTCGTATATTGTGGTTTTAAGTCTTTTAGGCGTGGCTGTAATCTTGATCTTTAGGGTCGGTGCATATTTGACAGAAGATGCGTCGCCGGTGTCGTCGGTCGCGGAATGTCCTAACTGACAAATATATGACACATCGCTTAGGTACTCACGCAGACTTCGGTGAGATGATTGGCGGATCTTTCATCAGATTTGCACCGACCCATTTAGTTAGTTGAGTTACATTTAGAAGCACGTATTCGCTTTTTTCCATCGACCTATCCAGCGCCCTTACATCCCACCCACTTCCCCCCGCGCGCACACCCGTTATTTGTCTCGCTCTAACAACTTTCGGTTCTAAGTTACTGATATAGATAATTGATGGGTGACGAAAAAGATGATGCTGCCAGATGTAGCTTAACTCTTGTTTATTTTTTACTTAATATTTACCAATTTATTTGTAATGTCAACGAACAAACATTATTAGTCTTATTACTATACTATAACTTCAAATTTAATATTGAAGAGGAAACTTAAATTTTTTTATTATTATAATATTTTGTACTTTATTTTAAACATATTTCAATAGCGAAAACAGTTTACCGATTTATATTATTAAAGGGGTTTGTTTATTTATGATACCATGCCAATGGGTATGGTACTCACATCAGAAATATTTGTGTATTATATCTAATTTATTTGCGAAATATAGTAGGCTCAATTTTATGCGTAGGTATATATAACAATGTATCTGACTGCGTAGTGGGAACACTTTGCTTATCTAACTAAGGGTGGATGTAATAAAAATTCTACTTAAATGATATCTTACAGCCAGTTGCAAAAACGTTTATTTAAATTGTCATTAGTTTAAAGCGACATTACCGATACGAATTTGACATTCATTATAGCTTAAAGGCGTCATTAAACCTTAATGGATGTTTGCGCAACTGACCGTTAGAGTTTAAATTCTTAATAATGTGTTGTGTTTTGTCAGTGAAAACTCGATTTATTCAGAACGATACATTGATCTCAAGACATACTACTGACGACTTTTCAATTTTGCTTTTATATTTATGTTACCTGTTACAATATGACTTAATCGCTTGTGAATTTTTATCCCCGGTTGCTATAAACCTTATCCTTTAGGCGTGACAGTTCATTTCGCCGATAATCCAATTGTGAAAAAAATGCTTAGTCCAAAATAGGTGTTTACAAATGTTAGGTATATGTAGATATTATATAATGTATTGCATTGTCATAATCATGTTTCAAAATTGTAGCATATGTAATATATCCTAGTCGTATTTATAGCTTTTATTATTTATTTACGAGAGAATTCTACAAGGAAAAAATAAATAATAAAAATATTTGCGCCTAAAGGATTCGAGTCTGTGTTCATATACATGTATAATTGAGTATGTTATCATAAAAAAAGAATATCAGGATTGATTTCAATATGCATAATAGAGTTACATATTTGAAGGTTAAAATAAAGTTAAAGCAAATGTCACCTAAGATTTTTCGTTTAAATAATACTGTTGATATTTATTTAAAAAAATGTTTATTCTAGTATAAGAATTCGTTGTATATCAGTTAATTTAAAATAAAATGAGTTTAAATGAAAAATAAATATCCTTTCATTTCATAAAATATTTATTTTGAAATTATTCTCCTGTTGTATATTTCTTAATAGCAACACTGACTCTGCTTTATTTAATACTCCTTGCCAGTCTCAAATTTACTTTTTAAACCTAAATATTTACATATAAGTTTTCACGATCTCATCTGAGAATGAAAGTTAAGGTCAAAACCCGTTAACAGTCTTTGGTGTTCTAAAATTTTGTCTCGAGACTCGAATTTTTTTTTTGGAGATTATGGCTCAAATTATTTTAATATCTATTAACAAATCTCAGAGCATTAAATTTGAAATATAGAGACGTCACGATGTTTTTTTAACCATGCAGGAATACTTTACATATTGTGTTTATCTTTAAAAAACGTAGGTACATTAATTATACGTTGTATTGGTATATAAAACACAGGCGAACTGGCTAAGTGCGAGTCAGGCTTGCACTGTGAGTAATTTAAAATATTCCATAAATAGGTATGTCATCTCTACCTATTGGAAAGATTGAAAAATAGAACAATCTGTAGATATTTATACAGTTGGGCTTACTTTTTCAAATTAATAAGTACTAAGATAAATTTTATTTCTATAATAAGTCATGTATGTACATTTCATTAGTTAAGGAATTATGCGTGGTGGTACTGCGACAGAGTATCACACAAACTTAAATCTAAATTCAAGCGTTTTAAAGATTTTTTTAGGACGGAAAACACGAAACATTCGTCCAAATATTACAAGGCAGCAGAGAGATCTCCGTGTATACTCGGTGACATATAGAGACAAGATTTTATGGGACTTGACACAATTTTTAAAACAGCAAAATGATTGTGTATAAGTTTCTAAATCATTATCTCATTCCGAAATTCCTACCCCTTTTTGCGATAAAATGGACTATTACATATATTTTGGAACATCAAGGGGTGATTCCAACTTAAGGAAGTGTTGCTATATCTTCATTCGCTGTATATGCTTCGGGTCGGGCGTCGATCTGTGCACGCTGGTGAGATGACGCGCAACATTGCGGCGACGCGCGAAAGTGTTACCGCACAAATCGCAACGGAAACGAAACGCAGGGACACGGTGACGATTCTTATGTATACGCATCAGTGTGACAGACTTGAATCGGGCGGGACATTGGTCACACTGTAATTAGAGAAAAGATCATGTAATCTATGAACGAAAATGATCGAAGTAATAAATTCGACGGTAGCAGTCATTAAAATTCATCATTCATAAACGTAGCTAGGCGGCTCGCGATCGTTGCTGTTAAGCGACTTTCGCAAGGGTCGGTCACAAGATGGGTGATCAAAAAATTATTATCTCGAGCTACTCCGTGCATCGGAAGGCACGTTAAGCCGTTGGTCCCGGCTGCATTTGCAGTCGTTAATACCCTTCCACCGCATTTGACCAGCGCCATGGCCCATCCTCCTTAACCATCCATAATGAAAGCTTGAACCCCTGCAGTGGGGACCTAAAAGGGCTGATGATGATGATGCGTCATTAAAATTTGTTGGGTTGCTAAAATAAACAAATTAAAAAATGCGTAAGTATATTGATAATTAAAGATTTGCTATTGTAACAATAGACTGTGGTGTTAAGTGCGGAATCCGCCTTGCAGGATTCCAGTTCCTTGTCCACCCCCAAGCAAGAACGGATCCAGACCTCAAAAAAGGTTCTAGTCAACTACCAAAAAACAGGTCAAGTAAAAGTGAGTATACCAAAAATATATTGGCGCTGTGATCAGCATTCTACCTCAGTAGACCACGAAAACGCGTTTTATCAAGCCAGCCACTTTTAACGTCGCTCTTCGGGACAAGTGATTTGAAGCATAAAGTGGATTAAAAAAACGGCCAGTTCTCTCACCTGTACTGTCTTTTCGGGCAGGTGTATGGCCACGTGCTGGAGGTAGCTACTCTTTCGGTGGAAGCCGGCGCCGCATTCTGAGCAAACATAAGGCTTCTCTCCGGTATGCAAGCGTTCGTGTATCTGACATAAATACAAAATGTCATAAAATATATATACAACATAATTTATATATTTCTTTAAATAAATTGTAATTTTACAAATATTAAAATCACAGTCAGCCTATATTAATATCTCTATTGCTGGAGCACAGGGCCTATGGATGTTATTAATCGAACAAGGATGCGCCACAATTTACCACGCAGGCGGATTCACCTTGCACAAGCATGGAGGAGCTCAAAATAATAAATTTTAAATCGCCCATCCTATGACTATGACTGACCCCTGTGAAAGTAACTTCAGCATCACAATTTGAAACATTAATTGGAGTGTGAAACGATATATCATAACTATTTTTTGTAATGTCAATTAATTCTACCAAACAAAATTAAAAAGAAAAATATTTAAAGAGGAAAGTGTTTTTATATATATTTTTGGTCAAACCTTTTCGATTTACTACCAACATCTAAACTAGCCTGGACCCGTTACAACAATAAACCCTACTACAACATTAAAATTTCAATCTTTGATTATTATATCTATTTTATTATTAATTCAAATGTTCTATTTAAATTAAAGTCATACCTATCTTTATAGAATTCGTTATCAGGTGTATTTTATAATACAATAACACTAACCTTAACTTGCTCTGCATTTGATGCTCTGTAATCACAGTATGAACATTTATCAGTCTTCTCGTAGCCATGTTTGGCTCTACAGTGCATCAGCAACAGCCTCCGTGTAATGAACTTCTTACCACAATGCTATTAAAAAAAAATGCAATAATTCATCCTGTCCAAAGAATAGTTTTAGAAATACACAATATTATCTATTTTGATGTTAAGTATTTAAGAAATCTAATATGAACTGTCTTTTTAAAATGTCTGTTTAAAAAAAATATTTTAAATTAGTAAAACCTTAGAAAGACCAAATTTTTCTATTTAATCAAATATATATTTATTTAATCATAGCTTGTTATAAAGTATAAGCAAATTGGTCAAGCTATATTAGTTACTTCTGATTAATTGCTTTATACACTATATTATTATTTCTTCAGATCAGATACAGATTTAAAGTAATATAATGCTCTAGAGTACAAAAAAAATACTGATCTTGGGCCACTAACTGGACGCCCGCAGGCGCAGTGGGGGTGGCGAGTGCGATATAACGGGCGTGTCAGGCGACCTGATAAGAAATGTTTTAGTTTGTATAAATCGTTATGGACTTGCGGTGCGGGCATCAGGCATAGAGCGTCGCGCCATATGAGTAGCAAATAGGTGAATCAGTGATTCTAGTCTACTACGACTAGTGTAGTCTACTACTTTTTAAACTAATTTTAAAACTTTGATATTTGAATCAGTGCAATTAATAGATAATGAATTAAACATAAATACTTGACAATTCATATCATACTAAACAAACAACCCGCATCGCTGCCAGCGCTGCTGCAGCCACCACAACAGCGGCCGCGGGCATCTAGTTTGGGGCCTAATTACCTCACAAACAAAATCAAAACCTGTGTGTATTTTATAATGGTTTCTCAAAGACAATTTAGATGTTAGAGTTTTATGACAATATTCACATTCAATAGCCACTTTGATATCTTTCTTATCCTTACAGTTTTTCAGTCTGTCTGAGTTTTCTTTCTTGCTCCTAACTTTAGTTTTCACTGGTTTCTTTAACAAGTTCTTTTTACGTTCACATTTAAATATTACATCCTGTTCATGTGCTACAACTTTCACTGTATTTTCAAATTCATCAGCTTTATCTTTGCCTGTTTCTAAACTTTTGTCGTATTGGAGATTGTGTAGGGGTATATCATCATCATCATCGTTGTAATCAGTATGTATATCTTGAAAATTGTCTAAAGTTGGTATGTCATTTTCAGTCTTAATTTTTAATAAATCTGGCTTTATATCTTTAAATTCACCCTTTTCTAGCCTTTCAAACATCCTTTTATGAGCATTTTCTGCATTTTTACAAAATTTATTTATCTCTTTTATGAAGTTAAGGCAACTCGTACACATTACTTGCGAAAAGTTGTCGTACTGTTCAATCTGCGGTAGTAAATGGGATATTATTGAGATATAGACTATCGCAACTATGGGATTAAAAACAACTTTGTACAATAAATAGAAATAGTTAATTAGGAGTTTTAATTAATACATAGTTCCAGTATTACCTTAGTTCCAGTTGCAAAGCAGATGGTATCAATTAATTTTTCATTGTTTTCGTAAACTGTAAAAATGGGATGTAAGTTTTCAGTAGATAAACAAGTTCTGCAACAGTTCCATGGATGCATTATCTTTACGAAAATAAAAGACAGTTCGAACAAATAGTTATATATTATAAAGTTTTGATTTCCTATACATAATAGTGTTTGAAATAGGATAACTCGACGCCTCACAAACTATTTTGACAATACATTATTTTGACATTTGATGAGGGTTGCCACTTCGAAATTTTAAGTTACCGTATTTTGGAATCTGGATTGCCGTGCTTTGAAATAAAGTCTACAAAATTGTCGTCTATATGTCGCAGCCAAGGGGTATAATCAGCCAACCAATTGGGCGGCTAGCCCTTCAATGAAATTGAATGGCGCCCATTTCTATTTATTATAAATTTAAAATTAAGGTTAAATATGACATAACAAACTATAATTATTCTTCACAGTCATCATACACGTCCGGAAAACACGATCGCATGAGCTCGCTAAGGTCTCATAGTGAGAAACAAAATGTATGTTCAGCAACGGAAGTACATAATTTTACATCTGCTTCAATCGTATCAATATTTTTCAAATGTATCGATATATATCAACAAAAATATATCGATATTTTCTGCGTAATAAGCGATTATTAATGAAAATTTTCAAAATATTCGAAATTTTGATGCAAATGCACACCTGGCTGTTTTGACATCAGTTTTATTATTTAAAATAGGTACATAAAGCCAAGAAAACAACATTTTCAACACAACAAACATTAGATTATTCAAGTAATTACTCGTTTACTTGAATAATCATTGATATTTGATACCCGATGGTAAAACGGGTATAGAAAAAGACCAGTGAGCTTTTAGATCACATGAGTTTATTTATCACCAAAATTATATACTTTATAAAATACAAACAGCATCGCCAACAGCTTTACGAAGAGTCTTTCAATATATAATAACAATAGATGCGCATGTGCAGAACAGATTGTCTAAATGTCAATATTTAAATTTAATTAAGGAGACTTTAAACCAAGAAGGTCTCCCTCAACAATATTGACATCAGAGCACACTCAGTGATACCAACCACACCAACAAGCAGTGTCATTGTAATTTGTGACAAACAAAAAAGAGAAGCAGGTCATAGACTAAGCACATACAGCCTACTGCCTACCTACTCTTTTTCTAAATTGAAGAAATACATGATGTGAAGTATGAGCAGACAGCAGAACTTTAAAAAATATATCGATTTTGATACGAACTTGATATCTGAAAATAAATATCAAAAGCTGATATATCGCGGGAAAAAATATCGCTGAATTATATATTTTTTTTTTAAATGTTGATACAGTATAATATTTCCAGTATAATATTGTAATCTTTGTGTTGATATATCGATTATCGATAGTTTTTGCCCAATCCTAGTTCATTTAATTTTTAAAACTTTTTCATTGTTTTGGTTTTATTATTTAATTATTTCTTTGATTCTACATCGTAAAAATTGTATTTAGCAAATACTTTCTTTAACAATTATAAACATCAAATATTGAAAATAACGAATGTATTATATTACGGAGATTTTAACATGAGTAATATGAAATGTTGCCGGACATGCCTTACTACAAGAGATCTCAATTCAATTTTTCTTATTCCGAGTAAAAGTGATAATTATTCGCACATATTAAAGTTAACGACTGGTTTGAAGGTCAGTAATATTACTAAAAATTTGAGACTGGAAATTCATAATCAATTCCACCGAGATAGTTAGTTCTTTGGATTATATCTTGGTCAAATATGTATATATTAGACAATATCTTTTTATTCTGTGCTAAGATCATAAATTAATAAACTGAAATGAACTTAAATAATTAGTGTGTAGTGGAGTCTGAAACTATCAAGTTAATTTATTCTTACAACAGATAAATAGAAAACTTTTAATTTTTATATCGACAGTAATAAATTGTGTGGAAATCAAAATGATCAGTTTTTTAATTCATTGTACATGTCTTGAATAGTTGATCTTTTGACTCAAATAGTTAATACTCATATTTCTTTTTTTATTTCAGATTCATATGAATGATAACTTACCACAAGTGATGTGTAAATCTTGTATAAATATCGTTAATGAACACATAAATTTCTTACACCAATGCAAAATGAGTCACTTAATACTACTAAACAGAATGCATTTTGTGTCAAACACAGAAGGATCAAACGAAAATAATGACATAAACATGCATAAAGAAACCAATGATGAAGATGAAAACATATTAAAAAGTAATGAAAATGATATGGATGAAAAATCAAATAATTACTGTAATAACAATGGTATAAGTAGGTCAGCTGAAAATTTAGGTATATTTGAGTCAACAGTTGAAGATTTATTAAAAAAACAACTAGACATCAAGGTTATAGATTATGTGCCAAGGAAAAAAGCCAAATTAGTTTATGAAGAAACTGATGTTATTACACTTAAAAAGCATAATGATGAGAAAAAAGATACTATTGGACCGATAGAATGTAAATATTGTAAGAAAATACTTAAAACAAAAAACTCCTTGAGCAGCCACTACAAAATTCATTATGGACCCAATATTGTATGTGAGGTATTTGATTTATTAATTTTAATTTAAATCCTTAAAAATGGGTCACCCCAAGGAGCATGATTGCTATATGTATTGAGATAAGCTTGAACAAAAGAAACCTATTTATCCTATATAGCTTTCTGTAGATGAAAGAATTATTAAAACAGATCTACTCATTAAAAAAAATAGCATTTAAAAATATTTTATTAAAATTTAGAACTCTCTTTGTACTAACAGCATTGTGGCAAGAAATTTATGAGTAAGCGACGGCTGCTGATGCACTGCAAGTCCAAGCATGGCTATGAGAAAACCGACAAATGTTCTTACTGTGAATACAAGGGAAGCAATGCGGAACTCGTTAAGGTGTTTAATTTTTTTAATAATGTTAGTAAAGCCATCTCTTGATATTTGTTTAATTCGAATAGATTGAGTTTAGTATCCAAGAATATTGGATTCATATTTTAATCTGTCCAGATTCACGAACGCACGCACACGGGGGAGCGGCCTTACGTTTGCTCGCGGTGCGGCGCCGCATTTCACAGACGATCCACTTACTTGCAACACATGCCTATACACTTGACTGAAAAGACAGTGCCGGTATGCTTATAGTAAATTCTAAAATAGCTTTATTGCTATTCTTTTATTTTACACTACCACAATATGTCAAATTTCCGCTAGGAATTTTGTACTCTAATCTCAATACATTAGGGTTTAAATTCAAATGGAGAAAGGAGAATTTTTATTTTGGTACTTTATTCTGAAAAATCTAACCAATATAAAGAAAATTATCATAGCACATAGACTCAATCCTTTATCTTTCAACAAAGTTTCGGGCCTGAAAGTTCCCCCGTTTTAGAGAATTAAGTTAAAAAAAATGGTATTGATTTTCTAGAAACACTAGTATTTATTTATTTATTTATTTACCGACACAAAATGCCTGATTTGTTGTTAATTTGTCACTTTCAGGATATGTGAACGGGATATGTGATTTTTTCTAATCTCAAAAATTATCTTGTTTCCATTACTATTAAATTATTAAGTTATCATTATTATTATAAGACCGTAGCTTTTTTTTTTATTTATAATGTATTAATCTGGTAATGACATGGTTTTTGTGAATGTCATTACAACTATTAGAGCTGGTGAGTTTCTTGCTCGTTCTTCTTAACAGCCAAAAGACGTCCAGAACGAATGGTAGGGAAAAAATGTTGGACGATTCAAAAGTACTTTTAAGAAGTCTATTTCAATAAAGATTATTTTAACTTTGACTTTAACGATTAAGTGTTTTGGGTGTTACCCCAAAGCACCTTATATTAACTTAGTTCCTAATAGATGAATCATATATCAATAAAAGGAAAATAGAGTTCATAATTTGTTAAATATGTATTTATTATAATAAGCCACGCGCAAAATAGACTCAAACTGGGTCTAAACTCCGTTGACGAACTTCGATTCATTTAAAATATCCACGTATTTCACATTTAAATGTCTGAAATGACCAATAATTAATAGCAAATACAAATAATGATTCCACATTGTCCAAATAGATTAATTCATAGCATGGATTGGAACGTAACTTAGGGACGGGGTTGCCATAGATTTTCTTATTGCACTTATGTGTTGCTACATAGATTATAAAATATCCACCAAATGATGCTCAAATCAGAAAATAAACATTTTGGCGGTGTCTAAAAAAATGATGTGTAAGGTTTATTTATTATCTATCGATTAATATATACTTTATGCTTGGTTAGAGATAATTTGAATAAAGTACTAGCCTCCATATAAAAAAAAAGTTCTCCTTTGACAGTTTTGTATAGACAATTATGTGTTTCTGAAGATTACAGACTCAAAACTGTTTAATAATATTGAACCTGCTAGTTAGCATTAATGACACATATTTCAAGGTCAACTATCGATCATTAAACTCGCCATTAAAAGAACGATATCAGATTAGTCAGAATACGGTTATAGTAGTCCTTTTTTTTATTAATGGTGACATGAGTTTTATATTTTGTTTTTCCAAATTGTCTTGAGAGTTATAATCTACAGATTTCAAATTAACTGTTAATTCTATCAAATATTTCGTTAATGTAATAACATAAGTAATGTTTTTTTTTCCATTAGTGCCCTGATTGTCCTGCGCTATTCAAATCGGTTACGCTGATGAGAATCCACAAGAGTCGACATAAAAGAAGAGCAAAACGCGACATAATACGCACAATAACATAAATGAATATACCTATGTCTAAGGTATAATAATATTATATGACAGAACTTCTTGGGGTGGATGAGTTACATATATTGGACAACTTTTACTATGGGACCAACACTGAATTCACGGTCAAATAATCAGTGGTTTCACACAAAATTGTACTAGCTACAATCGCGAACAGTATGTAAAGCGTCCATCTCACGATATCCTGGCACATTATAATATAATAAAATGATATTAAAAACCACAAATGTGTATTGCTATAGTGAAATTGACAGAAGAGGTTTTAAGCCGCATTAGAGATTGAATCAGTGGCGTAACTATTATACAGGGTGGCAAGTCGGCAAAATGCCACGGGCCCCCACCTGGAAGGGGCCCCCGGTCAGAAGAGACTCCTTACTCCTGACATTTACGTGCTCCTTACGTGATAGTTATATCGCAGCTGCGCGAGTAAATAAAGGTCTAAAATCTGACCAATTATCTGTATCTGGCACTGTTCAAAACATATATATAAATGAACACCTTACAGCCAAAAACAAGCAATTATTTCGTATGTGTCGTGAACAAGCCAAAAAACACAACTTCAAATTTGTTTGGATCAAACACGGTGCTGTATTGGTGCGTCAAACTGAATCGTCACCAGTTTTTGCTGTGCGAAATATACTGGACATTGATAAGAAATTTAAGTCTTAAACATACTTTTGTTGTCGATTGTTATGTTGTCTGTTTGTGTTATGTTGTCAATAAGTGTATAGAAAAAAAATTTATAACCTTGGGATCTTTGAATGAGTATAATTGAATCGGTTATTTTGAAAAGGGCACAAGTCACACTTTTTGCAAAAACGAAATAAGTATGTAGGAGTATTTGTCTATGCTATTTGCACGTTTTCTCAGAAAAGGGCACTAGTACGCTTCGTCTTTACCAAGTTATGAGGTTTGAACATTTTGGTGTATTTTGAAAAAGGCATTAGTCCTGGACTAGTGCCTCTTTCATAACAAATGCCAGTTTTGACACATAACCTCAAAATGTACTAACGCTCATTTGCAAAAATGTCTTCCGATAATGAATGTGAAAATGTGCGAAATGATGCGAAAAAACGAAAGAAAGGTGTAAAAAATGAAGAAAACTACGTGCAAAATGTACGCAAAAGACAAAGAATAAGTGGAAGAGAGTACACAACACAGAAAAACAAACTTGTACAAGCAAAGACTATTGGCGAAAATTGCAGGTATTTTTCTATTCTAGTTCCATTATTTTGTTTTAATATCAGTAGAATCTAGCTGTTACTAATTTAATTTGTTTGTTATCTAGGTGTAAAAAGCAATGTTTCAATAAAACATCTGAAGACCAGCGACAAATGAATTTCGATAAACTTTACAGTATTGAATCGAAAAATGGACAAGACATTTTTTTACAATCCCTTATAAGTTGTACCGAGATCGAAAGGAGAAGGCCCAGAGTTGATGACGAACGTAGCAAGAGTAGGTTCGGAAGCTATACATACTATGTTGAAGTAAATAAAAAAACTCTTCAAGTTTGCAAAAAGGCTTTCATGTCTATATTTGCAGTGAGTGCAAAGAGGATTCGTAGATTATCATACTTAAAACAAATTGGAAAAGTACCTAAAGATGGGCGTGGAAAAGAGGTGACGTCCCGTCGGGCCATTGATGGAAACCTATGTTTGAAGATAAGAGAACACATTGAGTCATTTGATGTTAAATCTGTTCATTATGGCAATTCTGAAAAAAAGTATCTCAGTGCTTCTCTCGACATTAAACAAATGCACAAAATGTTTTTACAGAAAAATCCAGAATGTAACAGCATCACATACAGTTTCTACAGAAAATATTTCAAGGAAAACTTCTCGTTAAGCTTTGGAAGACCTCAAGTTGATACTTGCGCAAAATGTGAGGAATTGAATGCGAAGATTAAAAGTAATTTCTTATGTGAATCTGCAAAAAGAGTGGCTGTAGGAGAGCTTCTTGTGCACAAAACAAGAGCGAAAAAATTCTATAAAAAGATAGAGCAAGTGAAGAATGACATCAAAAATAAACAAAATGCTTTTGCTATATGTATAGACTATATGCAAAATCTTCCTCTACCTCACATTCCTGTTCAAGAAATATTTATTACAGACAGCTTTGGGTCAATGAGTTTTGTGTTCATAATTTAAAAACAGACGCTGCTGTTTTTTACTCATACCATGAGGGCATAGCTAATAAGGGTCCAAATGAAGTATTTTCATTTTTACTTCATTATATGGAACATTTCATGCCATCTGCAGTTGACGAATTGCACATATTCTCAGACGGATGTGCTGGCCAAAATAAAAATAATACAGTAGTAAGATTTCTTATGGCTTTGACACAGACACATAGATTTCAAAAAAATTATCATTACTTTCCAACCAGGGGCCATTCTTTTCTGCCCTGCGACAGAGACTTTGGTCTTGTCAAAAGGAAGATAAAGAGATATGACAGAGTGTACACCCCAGAAGAATATGAAAATATTATAGTAGCAAGTTCATATTTCAGCAAAATATCAGTCTTTAAAGTCACTACTCAAATGGTCATTGACTTCAAAACGTGGTGCACCCGATTATATAAAAAAAACTGTATTTCCATACAATCATTAGGTAAAAAAGTGCCTAAAGATAAGAAAGTAAACTTTAATGTATCACTTTTCCAACAATTTTACTACGATTCCTCAAACCCAGGTGTAGTTCAAACAAGAGAATATATTGATGGCTTCTTAAAATTTGATTTCAAACTGGCGATTGGGCGGGAAAATGTTTTATTGCCCACAGCTCAAGCTTACGGTGATAAAGTTCCAATTAATATTAAAAAAATAGAGGATATTAAGAAAGTCATGAAACATATTTCCACAGAATTTCTGACTTTTTACAATGATATAATTAATTGGCCAGCTAAGTCATCTGAAACCCTTGAAGAAGATGTAGAATGAGTGTGTGAACATTACTGTGTTGATGAGCCAATAAAAATACCATTAATAAATGTAAAATTTTGCTTGTATTATTTACATTAACCGTTTAAATTTTGAAAAGGGCATTAGTCCAGGTCGGAAAATACCCATTATCTTGATAATTAATGGCGTATTTAGCTTACAAATCAATTAATTCAATGAGTTAAAAAGACATTGATCCACTAGATAAACATAAAATTATATGATCATACATTTTTTTTTCAGGGCACAGTTTTTTTTGTCTCCTGTAAAATTTGCATTTGTGGACTTAGGCCCTTTTCAAAATAAGCGATTCAATTGTTGTGCATGTTTACTAAAGTTTAAATGGTTAAATGCAGGTGTATGTGAAACGAGAAATATAAAATATAACCCTAAGTTCTTTTTGTTTTTAATACTTAATTCGAACAATATATATACCTTATCAAGGTGGTTTTGGTTTGACCATATAATTACTTATAATAAGATTATTTATAACTTTTATTCACTTATCTATTTAAACTATCTTGTACTAATTCCATTTATTATTACTAAAAAAAATGGCTAAGACAATTTCTATATATTATCAAAACTGTAGAGGTCTCAGAACTAAACTACACACACTATTTATGAACATTCTCACGCAGGCATACGATATCATAATACTGACTGAAACATGGCTACACTCAGATATCCTTGATAGTGAATACATAGACGCTAGGTATATTGTGTTCCGTTCGGACAGGGATCGCAGTGCATCCGCTCGCCGTGATGGCGGTGGTGTACTGACTGCAATCTTGCGAACACAACTTGATAACGAGTGCGCACACGTCATCGCTGCGACTATCCCTATTCCGCCTATAATCGATCAGTTAATTATTGAGATTGAAATTGGAAAACGGCGTTTTTATGTATGTGCAGTTTATATTCCGCCAAAACAATGTAAGGAGGTTTATCTTCAATATTTAGATATGTTACAAAACAAATTCCTTGACGAAAATATAGTTGATTTTTTCATTATAGGTGATTTTAACTTGCCTGATTTGATTTGGATAAATAATGACCCTTATAAACAACGTCCTCGCATCTGTGATTTCAACGAATCACATATGCGTGTAAATAATTTTATGGAGTCGTTGAATTGCTATCAATTAAACACTTTAAGAAACAAAAATAATCGTATATTGGACTTTTGTTTTACAAATAAATTTGATTGTGAAATTTTACCAATTAATAATTCATTACTACCTCCAGATGACCATCATCCACCGTTTTGCTTATTGTTTCCCCTAAAAGAAAATAATAATTATATACGTCTTAAACCATACATTGGGTATTGTTTTAGGAAGGCAGATTATGATAAAATTAAACAAGAACTGTCTAATATTAACTGGTCGGAATTATTTTTAAATAAAAAGCCCGAACAATTGGTTTCCATATTTTATGAAATAATTTACAGTATTATTGAACACAATGTACCGAAAAAAACTATAACATCTTCTTCATATCCTATTTGGTTCACACCTCCGCTAATTAAACTGATTAATAAAAAAAACAAGGCTTGGATAAATTGGAAAAAATATAAAGTTGAGTCCAACTATCATATTTTTTCTATATATAGAAAAAAATGTAATAATTTGTTAGAAAAATGTTACAAGAAATATATAATGAGGGTCGAACACAGTATAAAAGACAATGCTAAGTATTTTTGGAAGTATATATCACAACGAAGGAAAAATTCTGCTATACCTAGCAATGTATATTATGAAGATTCTGTTGCTCATGGTCCTGCGTCGTGTTGTGAACTATTTAATAGGTTTTTTCACTCTGTATTCCAACCATCATCCTTGTCAGAAGACTTTAGCATTGATGACATTCATTTGCCATCTCAAAGCGCCCATGATCTTGAAATTTGCGATGTCGTATTCACTGTATCAGAAGTTCGTAAAGCATTGCAACGATTAGATACTTCTAAAGGGGCAGGTACTGATAACATTCCGGCTATATTCTTTAAGGAAACTGCAACTGTGATTGATTTCCCTCTATGTTATATATTTAACATGTGCTTATCTGATGGAGTATTTCCCAAAGTTTGGAAAAGTGCCAGAATAGTTCCAATATATAAAGATGGCCCAAAAAATGACGTCACAAATTATCGCCCAATATCGATTCTGCCCGTTATTGCTAAGGTATTCGAACGACTGGTACACAACTCAATTTATCCACTATTGCATAACGTTATCTTGAAGGAACAACATGGGTTTGTGAAGCGACGTTCCACAATAACAAACCTAGTCATCTATACTACTGAGCTGTTTCATGCTATTGATGATAATAGGCAAGTTGACAGCATATATAC